AAGTGATGACGGCACGCGGTAGGGAGGAGTTGCAAGAGGTCAAAGGTGCCTTTCATTGCTCGGGAGGGGGGTCTTCCACTGCGCTCCCATGCTTTCATTTCTTCGGGACATGAGCCAGACTCAATGCGCCATCTCCGCTAGCTGCAAGTTTAGGTGTGATTCATCAAAGCATTTCAAAACAGTTCAGCCACTTCGGACGGTTCGGTTGCGAAGTGTGGTCATTGGGGAACTTCGCTCGTTCTTGCAGGTTTCCAGTGGCAGAACAACTTCGATTGCCATAGCAGCTCAGGCATGGACAGGGCTGGAATTTGTCGTATCATGGGGTGCTGGCTGGTCTTGCTGTATGCAGGTGGACTGGCAGCCATTGGCGATCCTGGATGCACTTGCCCCAGTTTCACATGCATATCGAACACACATGAACACACCATTTACCAGCCATGCAGGAGCTCTCCCATGGCGCTGCAGGCCACCTGCTTGTGATGGTGCGGGAGGTGCGCTGTGCAGAATTGTTGCCAGGGTGTCTAGGACACAAAACGCATGTCTGGGGGTTTGAAAAAGCAGAAATGCGGCTATGGCATGCTCCTCAAACACCTCGAATCTTGCTGTACTTTGCACCCGTGATCAACGTTGAAGCACATTGGGTGCAAGATGGTGCGAGGGAGCCTGACAAAACTACGCAAGTGGAAACAGATGTAAGCAGTCTCAAAATTGTCTGAAATCAGCAAGAGGCGGCATCGGTGAATGTATGGCTGATCAAGACTGAGGCTGGTCACGCTGTCGCAAATTGTCCCAAAGAACGCTCGGTTGCAATCTGCCTAAGTGCTTCTCGGAGGGTGAGCTTCTTGCACGTCTTCCAGACGCAGTGCATGCGTGCTTTACCGGCACGCGCGTGGCCTGGCTCTGCAGGACCGACATAGTCTGCCAGAATGCACCTTTGCAGTTTTTCTGTGTTCGGTGACGTCCCCGGTGTCCTCTCACATGCTTATGCTATCTCATGCTTCCCCGTCCTCGCGTGCCCACCTGCTTTCCACCGACCGCTTGGGGGAAGAATGGGGGAAGACATGAGTGCGCGTCAATACAGGCAGTTCGTCAGTTGGGAAATTTCTCCCTTTTGCAGGAAAGAGTCACAGACCTGGGTTTGCAGCGGGGAAATTGCCTCCGCCACAGCCGGAGCACAGCTGAGTGTGGCATCCACTGCTGCGGCAGATGGGGCAGAACGTCTGTCTGGGGCTAAAAAGGTGGTCTTGAACTCTGACGGTTCCATTTAGCATGTCGCCGTGGTGTCACAAGTGCAAGGCTTGGCTGCCCTGGTTCGGATGCACTGTGCGCAACTGGCTGCATGCACTATCATGCACTATCATGCACTTGGCGCCAGAAGGTCTTTGACACACACGGCTGAGACAGGCTGTCATGGGGAAGCCGATGGATGGATGGCCCACTCCGATTTGCAAACGTCGGGGTCCAGCTTCACCGACTTGCAAAAAGCGCATCGCGTTTGATGTTCTTCAGAATCTTGGCTAGTGAGTCTTGGAGCCTTGGAGCTTCTATCCAATGCATAGACTCCAACAGAACCTGTGAACCTTAGCGAAGACTCCGTTCGAGCAAGGCCAGTTCATCAGTCTCAATGCCGACTTCGGGACCTTTGCAGCTCATTGACTACCGATGGGTTTCTCGGAGTGGATCCGGAGGTGTTTCAGTGGTCAGAGATTTTGCAGTGAGAGGTTGCTACACTGTTTCTGGTAGAGCTTAGGATGGCCGTTTCAAATCTTCAGGCCGTATCGCTCTGTTCATGTGGTGACCTGACAGTGAGCAGCAACGCCCGTCTCTTGAAGGAATCCGACTTTCCACTTTGTTTAAATGTAACATGCATGTTCAAGCTGCTAGCTGAGCGGAGAGCTGCACCGTCTGCGTAGCATATGGGCTTTCTGGCACATCCTGGCGTCACTGGCGTCTCCGCTTGATTCGGCTTGGCGAGCGGAATCGGGTCACCATGTTGCCATCTTTTGGTGGCTCGTGGAGTGGATGGTCTCTCGGTGCATTTCGTTCTCCGAAAGGGGTTTGGGTCAGGAGGCCCGGGTTCGACGAAGGTAGAGAAAATGTGATTTGCAAATGTGATCGGCAAAAGCCATGCACAACAACAAGCGCTGACCCACAATATGTGAATGCGAAAGTTCACGACTCGCTTTGTAAAGCGCGATGTTTGTGCGACCTTGAAGGCGGCCCTTTTAATGACCCCTGCAGATGGGGACCCCGCTTTGTACATGATGAATCTGATTGTTTTGTGTCCAATGCCTTCTTTCCTCTTCTTGACGAGCGGCTCGTGTTGCCTTCCTTCCAAAACTTGATCGCTTCATTTATGGTCATCCAAATCTTGCCCTCTGCTCGCCCAGCCAGCTTTGGCCGGGTCCAAGTGTTTATTTCAATTGGCTTTGCCAAGGTTGTGAGCTTGTGCATGATGCGATAATGCTGGTTTCACTGGCATGGTCTGGCATGTATATGGCACACAGCTCCGCATGATGATTGCCTGTGCAGGCAGCTTCCTCGCTTTGGCAGCACCTTTTACCATTTGGGTCGTGCGTATGATGATGCATGAAGGCGCCGGTGTTCTGCCTCTTTTTCGGGTGCAATCTTCGCTGTGCCCAGGTGAGCCCACCATCGATTTGCAGATGTGGCTAGACTTAAGGGCCGCAGCGTGCGAGCAAGGACGTGCTTTGTCCTTGGCATGGCTGCGAGTAGCTTGTCTCCAGGAAGGTTGCTTGGTGAGGTTGCCTGGTCAGTGACATCGGATTGGAGCTCCGCACAGATTCGTGCAGCTGTCATCTTGTCGAGCTCAGGCACCAGATGCCAAATCCACAGGCCCCTCGCATTTCTTCAGAGCATCTACGTAAAGCATGCAAAGCCAGCCGCTCCTGACACCTGTCAGGTGTGCTGCTGTTTTCGACTCCATTCGCCGTGTGCGCCTGCAACACCAAAATGCCTACAAGACCGCAGGCAGCAGCCTCAGCAAACCCAGGCAGCCTAACATCCAGACCATCCACTTCAGCAGGAGCATGCTCGTAGTGCACATCGTCTCATCAGCATTCTGGCTGGGCAGGTGGTAGCATCTTACGACAGGCCTCAGTTGATAGCATCAGCGCTACCAGACAGGCGTGCTGCATGGGTGTAAGCAGCATGTTTAGACGGTCACCACAAGCCACAGGACCAGGTACATTGAAAGCCTGTGTCGAGGCTTGTGTCAGTCGAGCTGCAGACTGGCGTCAGCCTGTTTGCTGGTTCTGTCGCAGGAGGATGCGAAGTACACGTTTGCTCGATCATGCGCTGCGCTCCACGTGTTGCAACTTGTGCCTCATCGTGATTCATTGTGTCGAGTGTTTGCTTCTCCCTGCAAGGAGCCCCGTTGGGTGGCAGGTTTCAATCCACAACAAGACTACGCGCTCGCGTGAGGTATCGCGGGGCACTTCAGCTTGCAGTCTCAGAGTTTGATCGATTCACCAACGCAGGACGCGCCCCGTCAGCTGTTGTGAGGCAAGGTGAGTGCCGCTACTCTGACATTCAAGCAGAGAACGCAAACTGAACTGTGCACGAGGTTCTTGGCACTCTCTTGCAAGACAGCTCGTGGATGAATGAGGCTGGTTGCGCGCTGTTTAGTCCATGAGAGCTTCGGCGCCCTTGGCAGACCGATTGGCGTTTGACACCGGCTGAGTTGCCGAAGGCAGGTTGCAAATTGTTGAAGGTTGTTGCAAGCATGTAGATGCCAAGGTGCGAACAGCATCTCACGGGTCTCATGACTTCCACAGTGTTCTCCAATCCCAGGAGGTCGATGACAAGCAGCTCTGGCCGGCAGCGGCTTGCGCCGAGGAGCCGCAGAGACTAGACATGGAGGTTTCGCTTCGACTCCGTTGGATGATGTCAGTCATGTTTCCAATAAGTAGGTTCGGTAGCAGCGGAAGGCCAGAGCGAGAACGTACAGATGTTGACTACAGCTGTATTTGGCTACATTTTGGTCGGTGCTGTTGTGCTCGATGATTGCGCCTTTGGCACCCTCCACCCCGGAGATTGAAGCGGAGTGAGCAGGAATGTGTTGTGGCGTGTGCACGTACATGTGGGTGTGCGACTGCGCGGGGCTCTGCCTTTCTTACCGAGGAGAAGAAGAAGAAGTAGACGCATTTCCGCTTCATACTTGTCCTTCCCTGCAAGCGGGGGGAAAGCAGACCGACAGAACCCCGGGTGTGTGCCGTGCGCGAGACCTGCCCCGTAGAAGAACCCTCGGGGTTCGGACCTCGGTGCTGCATTGATGTTTTTGAAGAAGCCTCACGTAATACATCGCAATACCCTCTCTCCATGGGTGGATGGAGGATCTCTCAGCACGACCCGGCCTATTCCCTCTTAGGGATCCTGTTGAAACACGCAGGCTGATTTAAACACCAGGCTCATATGTAGATCACCTCAAGTGTGGCCCATAGTGTAGGGCATTCCTGATGTTCTCAGTATACAGTCTAAACCCAGGCTCCTAGTAGAGAAGGCAGGCAAACGGGGTGCGCGGTTGGTATTGGATCCTTCCAGCAAACTTTTTGCTCTGCGTTAATGTGTCTGTTCTTGTTGAGCATCAGCTTGGCCTCGTTGTTTCTGTCGCGTTGTTGCTGGTGTTTGCTTGCGCTAGGCTGCCCGAAGCTGTGCTGCTGTGCGGCGGAAGCCTGTCACCAGCAGTCGGATGCAATTTGTCCCGCCCCTCGCCCTGTAGAAGACTTACGATCCCATTTGGCTGTGTGGCGGGCAGCTTTGTGCGTGAAGGGCCGTTGCCATGGGGCAAGGCCCTCCCCACATGTTTGTGCGACAGGCGACAGGTCCAAAATCGCAGATGCACGCGAAATCAATGTTTGTTCGTCTAGAAAGCATCGATCCAAATTTTAGCACAAGCATTTCTAAGCAAGGGTTTTTTGTAACGAATCCTGACATTGTGTTCGCTTGAGTTCTTTGAATTTCTTTGACGTTTGGAGCAGAATGTTTTCAATTCTGCAAGAATTGAATCTTTCTTCAAAATCGTAAGCTGCACTTCGTAGCTAGAGGCACTCAATTGTTCCTAAACTCAACTTCCCTCAAACCACAAGCTCTGCAGCGGCCGATGCTCAACAGAAGCATTCCCTGACGTGTGTGTATGTGTGTGTGTGTGTGCGGGTGGGTTCATAATTGTTCCAGGCCTAGTCTCACGGAATGATTCGGGAGTGATCCGCTTCGCATACCTCGCAGCGCTTCGGACTCTATGGCTATGAGTCAGATGAGTCATGTGTGTCGTTCTCTCCCTCGCTCTCTCGCTGATTTTTTTTTCTTTCTCTCTCTCTCTCTCTCCCTCTCTCTTAGTCTTTCTTCGTCCTTATTTTGCCGGAGCTTCTTGTTAAAGGTTGTATGATTCCTTTTTGTCTTGAAACCTTCCCCACTCTTGAAGCGTTCTCCCTTCGAAGGCGCCCCCGCAGCTGAAGGACGTAGCCGGGACGGTCCTTCGTCTGGCCACGGCTGCCACTTGGCACAGGAGTCAAGTCCCCACGAAGCGCGCAACACACATGGCAAGCAATGAATTTCAGTAACGCTATTACAGAGACATTTTGCAATATCTGATTGGTTTTTGGCAATTGGTGATGAGCCGTGCCAATCGCTTCGTTCTTGTGAGTGTGAGGCACACGACGAGTTTCGAGCTTTAGCAGCAATTCTTTGTGGTCTCAGCTCCCGCCGAGGCGAGACTTAGCAACGAGTCAAATGATTGTGCTGTGGACATCTTGTGGACATCTTGTGGACGTCTTGTGGACGTGTGGATTTCTTATGGACTGGGCTTGAAGTGGCTGTGCAAGGTTCAGGTGGCGATGTGGCTCCCGCTACCTGCCTTGATACAAGTGTGTTCATGGCGTCATCCAATGGCAGCTAAAGTGGGAGCCGAAGGCTCGGGTGGCAGCTCAAATCGAAGACACGCTTCACCGCTTGTGGCCTGAAGCTCGATGTAGCATTGCAAAGATAAAGAAACGGGTCGCGAGATGTCGCGAAATGACTTGAGACCTGTTATAGTTTATGGCCTATGGCCCCCTTGAGGAGTGGCCCAGCTCGCAGTCCAATGGTGGCTACTGCGGGCTCATGTCTCATGACCTGCTCAGTTCTCGTAGGAGCAACCGATGCTTCTTCTTCGCTCGTTGATGTTGCAACATGTTACAAGGGAGTGGCGCTGGCAAGCACAGCAAACTGTTTTTCCAGGAGGTGCTCGAGCAGAGGCTCTGGCAGGAAGCTGAGTTTTGACGAATGCCTTCCCGGGCATGTGATTGTGTTATGCTTGTCAGGCTCTGGCTGGCAATGGGCTTGTCAAGCAGGATCTGCTGCCACTGGGTATTTTGCTACCCGCTGTTGTACGACATGCTTCAGAGGTGCCACAGCTTGTTGCATCCAGAGCGGTGCTGTGTTTGAAGCCCGTTTCCGAAGACTGTATGGCAGGCCAAGCCGTCGTATTTGGGCCTGACGCTGCTGAGCCGGGACACGGCGTGGCCAATGGCAGTGCAGGAACGCCGTTCTCTGCGTTTGGTCGGAGTGTTCGAGAATGTTCGAGATCTGAATACACCCAAGGAATGGTTCTTGGAGTTGCAGATAAAGAGATGGTCAGTTGTGCAGGGGTTTCATAAACCGGGCATCAGACATTCAGCTCTTGAGACCTGTTTGTGGAGGCAACGCCTGGGGAGTTCCATTGGTGTGATGCCTTTCAGAGCCGCGCACCACTTGTCGAGGCCATTTGCATCTGGCCATCATGTGGTTTTGTAGGATCTCCTGCCGAGTGCTGGCAAGAGAAATCTTGTCTCTTGAAGAGAAGCGAAGATACCAACGATGATTCGCGATTCGCCAGGCACTTGTGGAGAAGGTGAGGCCTTGTTATCTCTCTTTTGCCTTGAGATGTAGTCTGGGAAGCGCAGAGGCTGTCATTCTCCAATCTACGAAGCCTACCCGGAGTTCAGGGCTTCCTGATTGCTCAGCATCAGTGCAGCTGGCATGAGTTATCAGGCAAGACATCCTGGAACCGCCACGTGACATCTGAAAAGGCCATACTGGAGCAGCCTTTCAGTGAAGCCCCGCCTTTGCGCAAAGCTTCACAGGCAAACCGACTGCTGCGGAGATGCCACGGTCGAAAGAGAGTGGTGCGCGGGTTGACGATCATGGGTTGGGAGGCGTGCCCGCTGCACACCGCCACCGTTCTTCAATGGCTTGGACTTGGGTCCACGCAGGAGCCAGCAGCTTTTGAGACGAGATCACCTTGGTGATTGCGCTTCATGTCAGGTGCAGGTGCGTTCCTTCAAGGCGGCTCTGAGGACACAGGCATAGGATGGCTCTTCGACGTTTCAAGTAGCAGGCCATCCAGCAGGAGGCGGAGGAAAGCCCGAGCAGCCGCGAAGAAAGTCCTGGACGTGGGGACAGGCTTGAAAGCAGCAAAAGCACATCCGCGATCATCAGCCAAAGCCTCTGGCTGCTTCTTGCAAGCAGGGAGCCTGTGATGCTTCCCAGTGGCCTTCTCGTTTATTGGCGACGCACCCAGCTTCCCTCATTGATGAAATGCATGATGACGCATGGCTTGTGCCACCAAAGGCGGTGTGCCGATGGAGAAGGCAATGTGCTTCGGGACAGCGGTGGCTGTGGCCGAGCAGGGGCGCTCCGCCGCAAGCTCAGAAAGCTGCACTAGCTGCATGCCTTATCACGTCGTCTTCGCGGCGGTGGTTGCCTTTTCATACATGGACCGTGAACGAGTGTGTAACCCCTTTAGGCGGCGGAAGCTGGCAAGGACCCTTAAGCCCTGATGATCCCATGGAGCCCACAGATGAGCCGGCTACCTAGCGACCGGATAGCAGTCAGAGCGGCGCACACGGCGCACAGTCGAATTCGGAAGGTGGGGACAAATGCTGTTGCCCAATTTCGCCGTGCAGTTGTGCAATGCTGAGCCCGTGCCTCTGTCCGATGCAGTCTCATCAGTCGCATCAGCCGATCAGCCCATATCTGATACTGAGGCTGAGCTACTCTGGTTCCAGTGCCAGCGACCGCAAGCAGTTTCAAGCTGAGTGGTGACAGGACACAAGCCTGAAGGTTGCATGTGGAATTCGAGAATCTTGCAGCGCTTGAGGCTCGCCCTCGTTGGTGGGGAGAGGGCAGGTACAGATCTGCAGGCGCTGCGTGTCCTTGCTGTTTGGATCAATGATCAACGTGGGAGCGTTGGGTCCAAAACAAGGGGACGACAGTGACAAGTCGAGGATTATTCGCAGGTTATCTTCCAGGCACCAGTCTCCAGTACGCCCATGCTGAAGGGACATGAAGTCACAGGCTGTCAGACGGTTGTTCTTCAGACGACTTGGGCAAGGGTACTGCATACAGTGGTACTGCATACAGTAGCGCGTTCTAACCAGAGACGTGCCCTTCCTTCGAATCGGGGTGGTCCTGTGCGTCACTTCTGCGTCCCCCCTCTGAAAACTGCGGCTCCCGAATGTTCCCGAGGTGCCTGCGGACAGTGATGGAATCGATGCCATGCCAGGATGGACGGTACAGGGCTTAGCAAGTTTCTTTCCAATAAGTTCCAATAAGCCTCAATGCAAGCTGAAGAGAGGCTGGCAGACAGTACATGTGAGTACCAAGGTCGAGCTCTGGATGCGCAGCACACCATCGAGCCCTAAAGAGGCAGACTTCATTCTTTGATACCATGTGCCATACATTTCCGCGCTGCTCCGAATTCTGAGTGCTTGTTGAAGCTTCAAACTGCCAAGTTGGATGGGGCAGGATCTTCAAATTGTGCGCCGGGCCCACTCTGGCCAGTACTGGTCATTGTGCTACCGGCCCAGGCCGACTACTAGCAAGTCCTGCGACTTTGATTGTTTCCCCAAACCGTGAGCCCTGCAGTCGTCCTGGCTTTGTCATGGTGGCCTCTGGGCAAACTTCTCCAATCTTGGAGGGCGCCTGTGCGGTGCCAAGCTGCTTTGCCAAGCTTGAACTCCTGAGTTGTGTTTTCTCCCGGAATGAGTTTTTAAGCCCTGTGCACGATGCGTCTGCACAAGGGTTGGTAAGGTGGCTCTCGTGTTTCCGGAACTTGTCGCGCATTTGGAGCTCTTGCTGGTCGTTTCCTCAACCTCCCAACAGTGCTCGGCAACATCGAGTGGCTGTACCTGATTGACTACTCTCGCGGTCGCTTTGGAACTGCACCTGGGTAAAAACGTCGCGGCTGCGTCGGCCTCCTTATGGAAAGAAAGCATGCTCAAGAGGACCTATGACCGCCGCTTGGGTATGGAACTGCCTGAGTCCTGGTCGATGGGGTGCCAATCACGGGGAGTAGCGAAAGCGCAGCGTCGGGTAAGCCTGGAATCTCACGCAGCCGGAAACTCTGCAGCGAGACACTTCAACTCCTAGTCTAGAAATGCATTCCCAGGCACTGAAGAGAAGGCGACTGACAGTTGACTGTGATCTCGCCTGTCCGATTTGCCGTGGCGATTCGCAAGGGTGGAACGTCCAAAATGTTGTAGAGTGAGTTAGGAGTTAGTTAGGTTACTGACCCGGTTCTTCACGGTGTTCCGCATCGTGTGGTTCTGGTTTCAAATGTGACTTCTCTTTTGATGAGTCGCAGTCGCTAGTGCCGCCAAATAGTCAAACTGTACTGAAGGTGAGCCCCTGCCATCCGGCGAGTGGATTCATTTCGCCCTGAGATCTGACTTGAACTCGTTGGAGGCCTGTGCTGAGAGCAAAACATACTGTTGTCACTGTACACATGCCGTTTTTCAAAAAGTGCAGACAAAGGTGTGCTTGGATGGCCGGATGGTCGTTAGCTCTGCCATCTCCTTGCCGTCGGCGCCTCTAGAGGCGGGCAAATGGGCTTGACCTGCACCACGCCGCTACATGCTGCACTGGACCCACCACACAATGTGATCAAGGCCAATATTTCATTTGGTCCCGCCGAGTTGGACATCACTGAGGCCTGGGAGTGTGACAGCACCAGGGAGTTTAGCAGATCTTGCCTTCGGCAGCGGCATGTCTCCGTTTATGTCACAGCTTCGGTGTCGCAAGAAGCTGGCGGACGTGCAAATGATGCTTCACTACGGCACTTGCACAGCTATTGCTGTTCCTGTTCGTGACAGCATCAGCAATGCAACGCCAAGATAAACCAGCCACACCATGAAATCAGTCTGGCAGTCAGTGCACTTCTCACATCAATGCAAGACACCCCGGACATTTTGGCTAGTGCAGAATTGGGCTTGCACAGCTGTGAAGTTTCCGCTCCCGATGTGCAGACCAGTCGGGCATGTGAAGTTCACCGGTACTTCAAAACCATGTGCATAGTACAAACTGCTTACGGCTGTTTGTAGCACTTTTGCAGATGGGGGGGGGTATGTTAAGGTTTGTCGGAATACACATGCTTCCTTTCAGCAGGTCCGGATATGGGGTGTCTGCCGTTCTGACAATGACCTGCTGCACTTTCACCGCCAATGCCTGGATACTGTACTGAGCGGATTCTTAGCACAATTGGGCATGAGTGGCTGTGCGGCTCATAGACCTTAGACATCACTAAGGAGAGCTTCGAGGTGAAGCATGGAAGAAGGCGCCTTTCGGGACATGCCATGACAATGCAGCAGATATTGAGGAAGGTCTTGGTTTTGGGGGCTGCAGTCTTGACTTGGGGGGACACGTGTTGGAAAGGGGCTTGGGCCCTGATACCCAAGCGTGAAGACTTCGAAGTTTTGGCTTGCAGTGCGCCCTGAAAGTGGACCTTGTTTCATTGGTCAGTGGCACAAGCCAGGCGTGCCGTGTTTGAGCATCTTCCTTGGGGTTTTCAAATTCCCACCCAGTTGCTTGTCGTTGTCCTCGATCCGCTTGGCCCGGCCCCACGCATGGAAGCTTATGGGAGTAGGGAGTACGCCATCAGACAGGGCATGCTTATATGCGTGCCGGTAAACTCCAGTCGGATCTGCTGCCAACGAATGACATGGTACACAAGATGCGTGAGTTTCGCTGCTACACCAAGACCGTATGATGAGGCAGATGTGGCAGATACACACACAGCAGCAACTCTTGCGCGGAAGGTGTGCTTCAACACCTCCTTCCAACGTGAAACGAACATAAAATGCCTGGTGTTGGACATCACGGAGTCGCCTAAGTAAGAATCATGAATGGCAGGCACACATTGATTAGAATTGCGGTGGTTGGAAACTGGCCGGAACTGGCCGGAGCTTCCGGGCACATGACCCACCAGATGCCCAGTTGCAAATTCGACACAAATTTGTCGCACGAGGCAGGCGGTGCATTTGCGAGATTTATGTGGTTTCTGGCTGCTGTGGTTGGTGGCTCGTACATAATGGCATCAGCGATCGCTGTAGTTTGATCAAGTTGTTGGCTGCTGGTCGGAGAAAAGCCCGCAACGGCACGACAAGCAACACAACACCTGGTATCCTGCAACTCCCGCCTGAAAGGCTTTAGGCAGTATTCCGAAGGCATTCGCTTGTTGTTTCTCATGAGGTTAAGATTCGTGCCGCCACGGGGGCAACGGGAGCAACGCACCAAGGCCAGCTGTTACATGCTGCAAGTGGTCCTTTGCAAAGTCTGCCCCGATGTGAAGGTGAGACGTCGGGGTCTGATCCTAAATCTCGGACCGGCTTTGCGGCTTTGGAGAAGCGTTGACTTGAGCCGGAGGCTATGGGGCATCACAGACATGCCGAAGCAAGGCTCGGGAAGGCAGAACTGTATGAGGCGCACTGCAGCGCCATGTCTCGAGGTGGTCGGAGCCGAAAAGCCGAAGCAGAGGATGAGCAGGCTACGCGGCCCAACGTGCAGACATCCTGGCAGATATCCGGACATCCATGCAGGTGCAGAACTCCTGGCCAACCGGCTTTGAAGGCTGTGACCACGGATCTCTGTTATAATTTGATTGGCTATAGTAGCCAGGCTCAGGAAGTGCTAACACAGGCCATGTTCTTATAAGTTCTTCGAAATCCGAAGCTTAGCCTGTCAAGTGTGAATATGGGAGCGGAATTGCTCACTGCAAACTGGTGCATTTTTATCAGTGTTGCCTTTTCGCTCTTTGTAGTCGGTTAGGACATCTTGTGCAATTGCAAATCTTTGATTGCAAATCTTTGCAAGCCCGTCAGGTGGCTCTCGGTCACAAGATTTGTGGCCACAATTGCCTTTCGCAGATGCTTCTGGATTCGATGCGCTGAAGCCTAGCTTCAGCAATTGTAGTTTCAGAGCAACCATGTCCATGCATGTATTTAACGGGCTGTCGCCTGACAATCGCCCTGCTGGTGGCGCAGAAATAATCATGTTTCGGGGCCAGGCTTTGGCCAGGGATGATGTGCTGGTAAATGCTTGCACGGACGTCATCGTCGTTTGGGCCGGATGCGCTAATGACCGTTAGTGTGCTTGGCGACATTTGGAGGCGCTGGTGGCACAAAGGTAAGTATCAGTCGGGAATGGAGGGTCCAGTCTGATCATAGCACAGCTTTACAATCATCGTTCAGAAATTGCTGCTCTGGTCGGACGCAATCATCCTTGAGCTTGAAGCTCTGGTGATGGCTGATGCGCCAGTAATAATTGTTCGCGCATGATGGCTCCAAACCAGTGTCCAAGCTTTTCTCGTAGCACGGCCAGCATCGCTTGGGCAAGCATGCTATGTCCCGGAGGTGCTTGTAAGAATCCGTGGGGTCAGCGCTGGAAAGCCGCAACGCAACAGCAATAGTGTCAAAACTAGGTTTTGGGGCTTTCAACCCCCAATCAATGCAAGCCAAAGTCCTAAAGTCCAGCTTGCCAACGCGACCGGAAATGCCTTGGACGACCATGGACGACCGCAGCCGCCTCTTTGCACAGTCCACAGCCTTAAATAGCCCACAGCCTGCAGACGGAGACAAGGCCAAAACTTTCCAGCACCATATTGCCATATTGTGCACCAGGGCCTGGCAAGCCGGCGTGAGAGGACACACCGGTTCTGGATTCAAGGATGCGGGCACGGTAGAGTGGGATATATAGACTCGAGCCATCGGGTAATGGCCGGGTGCGTCCCCCGCATACGGGTCAGGAATGTTTGTCAACTGCACTGCGGACAGGAGGAACCGACTGGCAAGGCATAGGAAGACTTTAGGGCGCAACATGCAAGGTCTCAAAGAAGAAGCAAAGAAGAAGCAAGCAAAGAAACAAAGAAAGAAGTACAGAAAGAAGGAGAGAAAGAAAGAAAGAGAGAAAGTGCGAAAGAGTAGCTGTCCGTGGTGAGAGCCTTCCCTCTAGGGGGAGAGGCACTACCCCAGCGAACCGATCCCCAACCCAAAGAGTGGCCACCCCATACTCCCTGAACCCTGGCATTACCCTCCACAAAGTTGGAACCACAACCCAACGTGGCCAACGTGCCGAAACTTTGGCGGCCGCCACGAAGACCGTGGGCGTGGCATCACAGACCAGATCTTGGGACGTGCGCACCCCTTAAAACAGCTCCCCTTCCGGGGGGCTAAGCGGGGAGAGAGAGAGAGAGAGAGACAAAGAGAAAGAAACAGAGAAAGAGACAGAGACTGAGAAAGAGAAAGAGCCTGCCTTGCCTGTGGGAGAGAGAGAGAGAGAGAGAGAGAGAGAGAAAGAGCCTGGGGGGCTTACATGTCTCACGTTGACTGGACCACGAACCGGGCGCGCCTAGTGCGCGGAGGGTGTGCTCGTGCCCCCCCGCGCGCGCGCGCGCGCCCTTCAAGCCCTGAAGAAGAAGAAAGAGAAAGAGAAAGAGAAAGAGAAAGAGAAAGAGAAAGAGAAAGAGAAAGAGAAAGAGAAAGAGAAAGAGAAAGAGAAAGAGAAAGAGAAAGAGAAAGAGAAAGAGAAAGAGAAAGAGAAAGAGAAAGGGAAAGGGAAAGGGAAAGGGAAAGGGAAAGGGAAAGGGAAAGGGAAAGGGAAAGGGAAAGGGAAAGGGAAAGGGAAAGGGAAAGAGAAAGAGAAAGAGCCAATCTGCAGGGGTGGAATTTTTGGGACGGGTCTCAATTAACGGGCGGGATGGCAATTTCGGTCCACACATAGCAGTGCATGTTTTTGCCCAAGCCCCAACAGCCCAAAGTGGCAGTGTCTACACATCCAGGAGAACTTCACTTGTTGCAACTTTGGTGCTTGCTTGTCCTTTCCAACCTGGATGCGTACACGCCTTTTCACACCGGCAGACTCTGTAAGGCATGCCTTTTGGGGCGGCTCCCCTCGGGGGGCCATATGCGCAGGAAGTAAGGAGGGAAGAAAGAGAAAGAGAAAGAGACAGAGACAGAGAAAGAGAAAGAGAAAGAGAAAGAGAAGGAGAAAGAGAAAGAGAATGAGATGGAGAAAAAGAAGGAGAAGGAGGATAAGGAGAAGGAGAGAAGGAGAAAGAGAAAGAGAGAAAGAGCGGCCGGGTCCCTCTCTTGCGGGGCCCCCAAGTGAGCAGAAGAAGAAGAAGAAGAAGAAGAAGAAGAAGAAGAAGAAGAAGAAGAAGAAGAAGAAGAAGAAGAAGAAGAAGAAGAAGAAGAAGAAGAAGAAGAAGAAAACGAAGAAGAAGAAGAAGAAGAAGAAGAAGAAGAAGAAGAAGAAGAAGAAGAAGAAGAAGAAAGAAAGAAATGAAATGACGAAAGAAAATGAAGAAATGGGCAAACCGGCTAGCCGTGTCGCCACTTGCAACGTCTTGCAGCATTCTGCGAGTCTGCGAGGCAGGCACCGCTCAGGTTACTGCTCAGCAGGCGGGGCGGGTGGATGCAACGGGCGCGGGGTGGGCGCCGGTGGCACTCTGCTGGCCACATGAACCATATGGGGCTGGTGCTGTCCATGTTGCAGCCGTCCGAGATCTAGGAACCAGCTTTGGCCAATGTTGTGGTCAATCTGAGTTCAGTTCAGTGCCCAAGTCCACAAGGTCAACCGCAAAAATCAAAATCCCGGAATCAGCGAGGCACCGTGGCCGGCGCCTGCTCGAGGCCACAGTCAGCGTCGCACTTGGGATGCGCTTGACCTTGACGGTTCCAAGACTGTTCCGGGCCCTCTGCAAAGCTTGCCAGGTCGCCATGAATCGTAAACGGCCCTGCCGCATAGCAATCAAGAACGGTCCAAGAGCCTGGTGAACAGAAGGGGAACACCAACCCAATGGTTCCGAAACACCTTTCCTAGTTCCTGCGCATGGGGGCTCCATGGGGCGTCAGCTGATAATGTTTTCCTGCGCATGTTCCATTCTGTGCCAGGTGCAAAAACCCCAGACACACAGGAAGCCACATCATGCGCTACATCAAGTTGGCAGCTGGCGCAGAAGGCGCTTTGGAGATCGTTGGAGGGTTTCGAGTTGCGGTTATGTAGCAAGAAAGGCCCTTGTCCGAATAACACAGGCCAGGTCCTGCAGAATTTCTTCGTGCATGATTCGGTAGGTTGGTCATCTGAGAAGTTGAAGGTCCTTCTCTGGTTAGGCTTTGCCATGCTCTGCCAGGCTTCGCCATGCTTTGCCTTGCTATGGTTTGTTATGGTTTGCCTCGGTCATGCGGCCCCCTTGACCCGATCAAGTGCACTGCATGACTTCTCGCTTTAACACTTTACAGCAGTGCTAAGCATAAGTGTGGTTTCGCTGGGGGTCTGTAATGGTCGGTGGCTGCTGTATGCGGTTTGACTGGAATGATGGATCTTCGCAAGGGGGCTTGACGCTTTTTGAGCCTGGAGACCTGCCAAAGTTAGCTGCGGCAATTACAGTGTGCACGTATGTGGATGCTGCAGCTTGCAGGAGACGCAGGGTTTTGCATCACCACAGCTGCCAGCAGCTCAACCGGCTGCATCCCTTACGGTTCCATGGAGTCAAGCTGCACCACCTTCGGTGGCATACAAGCCAACTCCTCCTCCTCCCGAGGACGGATTGATGTCCCTGAGTACTTTGCCTGGTGAAGTGTGCTCTGCGCTCAATTCAGTGCACAGGACTCGGCCCATCGCACCCGAGAGATCCCTGCTACAACTCCGCCTGTGGGCCGGCTCATGCAAGGCAGTGTGACGGAAGAGCCCATGTTCACAGTGCTGCTGTCAGCGTTTGAGGCATCCTGGAAAGAAAGAGGGCCGAAGAGGACTTCGCCTGTGGGAATGCGCTTCAAGAGCCAAGAGTCATGTGGAGAATCCTCTAGCAGGCCAAGAGAAAGACTGTGACTGAAGATGCGTCGCCACTCGGCAGTCATGGTGCAGCTTGAAGCGTGTAGATTCTGGGTAGGTAAATTCACAGCTGCTTCCTTTCTTTGCTGAAACGAGACTGACGGACCAAGCTTTTTGAGGCTCAAGCAATGTCAGCATGAAGGGCGCCCCAGGGTAGCCAAATGTGAGGTCGGCCGTAAGCCAAGCAGCGGTAAGCAGCAGTGGGCCATGGAAAGGAAGGCAGTCCAAGTCCTGAAGGATGGACTTGAGGCAGAAGGCGGCGCTGCCCTGATGACTTCCTTGTCCGTGAAAGTGAAATGGGGCCAACATGACTTGCAAGGACTTGGTAACATACGCAAGTTCTTGGCGAAATATCCAGACCTGTTCAGTTTGGAAGGCTCCACTGTGACCCTGAATCAACGCTTATTGCGCAAGGACGAGGCTCCGAAAACCACAAGCAAGTCCGCACCAAAAGCGTCACCAGCTTCGCTAGGGTCACGAAGGAGGTTTATAGAGGAGCCGCTAGAAGAAGCCGGACAGACAGGCAGCAAAATCCCTCGGCATGCGTTTGGAGCGCCCACATCGAAGGCACGGGCCATCGATTCTGTGCAGGCTCCAAATGATGCCAATGGAGCAAAGCTGGGAGCGCAGGTTCCAGAACAAGGCGTGAAACCCACAAAAAGCCTAGCACCGAAGCCAAAGCACACTGCATCAGCGACTGCATCAGCGACTGCCGCGGCGACTGCCGCGGCGACCGCCTCGGCGACTGCCTCGGCGACTGCCTCGGCGACTGCATCAGGGACATCAGCTTCGCCTGCATCCGCTGGTGGCTCGGACACGCGCGGCGTGGAGCCTGCGCCGTGGCACAGCCGACGGCGGACACCAGCCACGGGTGCCTTCAAGGAGTGCCGCTTCTCGCATTTTTTAAGAACAAAATTAAGAAAAGGCTATAGCTGTCCTTGTGTTTTTGTGTTTTACTTAAACAATAGTCGAAACTTGATTCCGGATAGAATGTAGAACGTGCTGGAAGGGAGCAATTACGACAGCTTCGCAGGAATATCTCTTCGAATGCAGGGATGAGGCTCAAGAGCCCAATCTGAAGAAAAATGCTTGGCTGGGGGCTCAAGAGGTGCTCAACAATCTGAATGGTGGACCAGCTTTAGTTTTGGAGACCTCTTGAAGACAAGTCTGCCAGCATACGTTCGGGATCCAGAAACTGTTCAGGGGCATGACGACAAGTTTTCACGGCGTGGTAAGGAGATTTCATGCGGCGCACCTTTGAAACCAATTGCCGGGCCCCTCTTCCCATGAGGCTGCTCGGGAGCGTACCCAGATCAGCTTCGAGTGTTGGATCGGCTGGAAAAGGGGGAAAGCAGACAAAAAAGTCCACATTCACGTAGCGGGTCGCCAAACAGCTGGTCGTTTGGGATTTGCAAGTTGAAGACTTTCTTCAGCAGGTAGTCATGCGGGCTTTTATGTTGACGCATCTGCACCGTTCGTTCGTTTGTTCGTACACTGTTTCGATCTGTTACCTGCCAGTTCCTTCTGCTGCGCGCTGTTCCGTTAACAATTCCTTTCGCGAAAGATAGTGCTGTCTGCCAGCTTGGGTTCGGTGAAGCGGAGAACACTGGCGAACCTTCTTACTTAGCCATCGCGAGGTAGTGTGTGGCTGTAGACATGACAAGACAACCCTATCCATAGGGATGCAGGCTTAGGAGGACGTAGGCAGCACATCCAAGATGCAAAAGAAGAGATGTTGACAAAAGCAGAACATCAGCACCGTGTTCGTCCCTTGCGTGTGTTGCGACATGTTGTGAAGGAGTCGGCGAGTTGGGAGGAGGACAGCTTGAGCGATCAGGAGCTCATGCACGCCATCACTTCGAGCAAAGCCCATGGCATGGAATTAGAGTTGGCAGAGCTTCTTAAGAAACTACAGCCGACCGAAGAGTACAAGAGAGATTGTCAACGCGCTCTATTTCTACTGAAGGCTGCCATGTCTCAGGAGTTCCAGTCCAACTTTGGCAAAGGGCCCAACCTCGAGATCATAGGTTCTTCTGCTCAAGACACGGAACTGAATGGCGCCGATATAGATGTGGCCTGCAGAGTGCCAGGGTTCAGCCCAGACGAGCTTGATACGAAGCTGGCACGCCTTTGGGCACGCCTTTTTACAGTGCCACATTCCACACACTTGGCAGCATTAGATGCTACGCGATTATTTCCACATGCAACATGCCAATTTTCGATACAGCTTAAAGCTTCGGCACAAAGTTCGGCACCGCGATTTCACGCTCACCTTCTTCTGATCGAGTCACCGCCTGTCAAAGAATCTCTTGACTCGACCCTCCGCAGTCTCTGTGATTGCTGTGGCAAGGCCAGGGATTTGATTCGATTGGTGAAATTATGGGCCAGAAACCATGGCTTGATAAACCATCGTGACGGATACATGAACGGGGTTGCATGGACAGCTTTCGTGCTGTGCTTCCTGCAGAGGGAGCAGTACATCCCGTCGCTACAGACTCTGGCAGAGGGTAGTCAAGTTTCCCAGACCCCTACCCCAAGCCTGCGAGAGTTGCTGCTCAGATTTTTCCAGTTTGTCTGCGCTCCTCAAGCAAAGACACCAAGAGGTATCTCCCTCATGCAGGGGACGGATTGTGAGGCTGCTGCGCCTCCTTCTACGCATGTCGGTCCGCCACCACCCTTGTACATACAGGATCCAGTGCAGCTCAAGCGGGGATCCGATCAGAACATCGCGTCAACGCTGGGAGAAGCCCAGTGGGCTCGCATCCTTGATGAATCAAGGCGAGTTGCTGAAAGGCTTGACCCTTCCAAGCCACAGCGCTGGTTCTATTGGGCTGAAATATTTGATCCACAAGGGCTGGCATCAGGAGGCGACAAGCGACTTCCGAAACTTGGCGAAGTCAAAGTGTCCGGAGGCGAGACGGCCCTGCCATCACTGCCCACTGACGCAGCTCACAATGCGTCCAGCGCAGTGCCTGCCGTGGTGCAGACGGTCAGAGGGGGTTACTCAGAGGCGAACCATGGCGGGAACTCTGGCAACTCCCGTGGTCATGCGCAGACTCCGCATGCTAGCTCTGCTAGCTTGCTCGAAAGTGCTGGTAGAGCGACTTGGTCTGGCGGTGTCTGGCCTTCGCTGCCCGGCAAAGGACCAGCTGTGCATGTTCCGCATGCTTATTAGCAAAAGGCACAGCTGCAGAAGTCTTTCCAGATGTTTGCGGCTTGAACTTGGCTGCCGTTTGCAGTGCGACTTCTCAGCTGAGGCCCGCGCCGTCCGCGGTTCCCGAGCAAGGGAGCAAACAAAGTGCGGCACCCAAGCCATCTCAAGCCTCTGTTCTGTGAACTCAACTCCAGGTTGCCCCGCAGCCGGTACCGAACATACCGAACCAACAAGCACAGGTAGTATGAGGGGTATCTGAAATACTTTTGTCACAGGGCGGAAGAATTTTTGTGGCATAACATTTTTCATGAGTCCTGGGTCGAAGACGGCAGTGGCGAGGGAATTGGCAAACCCGGGTTCAGCATACGCTCCACCTGCAACAGCGCATCTCTCTCTCTCTCTCTCTGCCTCTGCCTCTCTCTCTCTGTTTCGTCCTGGCCCAGAGCAAAGCCGCGTTCAGGGCTCTAACGAGGGGGTTTGCTATCACGGCGTTTGACTGATCCTAGTGCCCCACTGGTCGATCTTCTTATACAGGTAGCGCCTCACAACACAGTCGAAAAAAGGGTCCCAAGTAAAACCCCGGTCACAACTTGAAAGAAAGTTTGCTGTCGAGGAGTTTGCAGGATCCAGACCCGGGCTTCAGCAGCCTTCAAGGATATCTGACCCCCCCGCCCCCCGTACCCCATACCCCCCCCATACCATACCCGCCCTGTACCTCCCCCCATACCCCTGTCATAAGGCAGTGTTCGGTCACCTGATCTGGCTCCAAGCCGCGGGCAAGCTCCAGCGAGGTCCATCTGGGTCTCCATCCATTTATGGTGACAAGCGCGGGGTAGTTCAGCAATTGAAGGGGCCCTCGGTCATCACCTTTGCCGCCTTCACCGCCGCCAGAACCAGCAAGGGCCCAGGCACCAGCGCTGATGCAGGTGCTGCCGCCTTGGCCGGGCACATAAAGCAGGCAGAGAGTAAGACTAGCCCACTCTGGCACCTGAAATTCATTCAGGCCTGGGAAGGCGGTGCCTGCGGCGGATGCCTCGTTGAACGCTGCCGTGGCTGCCCTGGAGCGGCAGGACCTGGCAGCCTCTTCAAAGCTTAAAGTGGTGGAGTTGTCTTGGAGTTGCTAGGATCGCGAACTGACAGGAGTATTCTTTTGCCGTGGCCGCATTCAAAAGCTGCATTCCACAGCTGCTCAAGTCAGGCAGGGGTGCTGTGTCTGGTTTGTTTGCGGATGACGCTTCGGAGTGGCACACGCCTTGTCCCGAAACGTTTGCGAAGTAGCCGGCCTTTGCGCTGCAACACCATGCAGGCATCATGGCTTCAGCACCAGCTGTTCGTCCGCGCGTTCAGGCTTGTGACAGCCTTACAGCGCTGTCCCACACATCGATCTTGGTAAGCTTGTGCAGAATGCTCAAACGAACCAATACAGAGCAAACAACCTGGGCAAATAGGATAATTAGGACGTCCATTATGAAGAGAGCATACAATAAGGCTGTACGTAGTATTATGGCAGAGGAAGTTTTTATTGGGCTTCGAGTGCCAATAATTATGTCCGCCCGGCAAATATTGGCCGCTTGCAAGACTTTCCAAATTAATCTCGCTTGTTCGCTTTGCTCACGCACTTCTATAAATAAGCGAGCAAAAGCCCTGTAATTTTAATTTGTTCAGTCGGCTTTTTGAGCGAATTCATTCTTTCTTGGTTTTCTATCTTTTCCGTTTACCTTGTTCTTAAATCTCTTTGTGCACCAGGATTCTACGAACAAGCCAGTACATTTACTTAGGTCCCAACAGCCGAAGGGTTGGGTTTCCATCTCCGGAGGTGGGGGGCCAAATGAGACTCCGGAGCCCAAAAAAAAAAAACAGAACGGAACGTGTAAGGGGGGGAGGGGCACCGGAACGGGACCCTTGCCGGAACGGAACGAGAAGGAACGCCGGAACGGAACGGAACACGCCGGGACGGAACGGAGGGCAGTCAAGATGCGGCTCCGTAGGCTCTCGGGCAACTCAGGAAGCGTTGGTTTTGCTGCGTCGTGCGAACTTTTTGTTGGTCGATGATGGTCTTTTTCCTGCCGGCTGTTGGCTTGGAAATAAATGAACTTCTCGCGATCGCATATTTCGTGCATTTTCCAAAAATAATTTAACAATTTGGAAAATGCCGCACGAATACTATTAACGGCACGTGCCAAATTATAAGATAGCAAAGGTCGCCAGGTCGAAGGTGCACGCGGGAGGCCGGAAACCTGCGCCTGTGCATGTGTTGGGGCTAGTGGGTCTTCGGCGGGGCTTGGCTGGGGGCTGGGGAAACTGTGAAAGAGACGGTGAATCCTGAAAGGTCAGGCAAACCCTAAACCCAGCATATCGTATAGTTGGGCCCTGCAGTTGCCCCGTGGAGCATGGCTAGACGGGTGGCAAAAAGGGGTCATGTTGGGTGGTAAGCCCTTTACCCCGAAAGGTCATGTTGGTTGGCAAGCCCTAAGCCCCGAAAGGTCATGTTGGTTGGCAAGTCCTGAACATCTAAACGTCTTAAGCCAAAGCCAAAACCCTGTGAACCAAGCCAAAGGAAACCCTATGTATGGATGGCAAACCCTAAACCCTCGCAGGTCATACTGGGTGGCAAGCCTTAACCCTAAAAGGTCAAATGGTCATGTTGAGCCGGAAGAAGCCTCCAACAACCTTTTTTCAAAGCTTCCACAGGCCTCGAAAACGTTGGCTTGTGCGTGCTAAACGGGACCCGCGGCCTCGACGCACCCAAGTACCGCGTGCATTTTGAACGCGTGGGCGCATGCGCCTTGGACAGCCTTGCCCATAGCAAGAATCCCCGAATGAAGACAGCCCAAGTTTCTAATTCAAATGCACGCGTCATCAACTACTTCTGGTTTTGACTAGAAATTGAAAGGGTGTTCTTCTTGTTATTCTGCTGTTTGAGTGGGATAGCTACATGACTTAAAATGTAGCTCTTTAGTTCGTTCACTAATTTTTCTGGAAATCTGTAGCAAGATATAAATATAAATATAAATAAATAAATAAATAAATAAATAAATAAATAAATAAATAAATATATATATATATATCATTTTTTAGGGTTAATTTTTTATACTTATATAGATGAGAGCCCCCAAATGCCCCTTTAATAAAGTGTGAAAGCCAGATCTGGAGTCGGAACTCCCTCCCCCCCAAAATGCATGTCGCTTCCCTGCATTCTGGAACGCACCAGGCAAACGGAGTTGTCATGTGAGAATCGGTTCGGAAGAGCAGAGGAAGCAAAAGCCCATTCCACAAGGTTGCTGTGTGCCCCGCAGGCGGCAGTAAACTATATGAACGTGTGCCAGCTGCTGCAGCACATCCAGGCACGCAATGCTGATCCACGTTTTGCGTGCGCCCGTGACGCATCTTCTGCGGTAGCCAGGAAAAGCAAGAAGCAGTCACGAAGGCCGTTGGCCACAAGCGCTGTTCTGCTCAGTTTTTCATAGTTTTTTTCCCTTCTGTCGCTGTGCAGGCACCGGGCGACGCCCTGGTCAAGCACGAGCTGTGCCAGAGCTGGGAATGCGTACTTCGCCTTGCGAAGGACCGTTCGGGCTGTGGACCCTTCCAGGGCCTTGGACCATCTTCATGGCCCGGTGAGTTGGGACTCTACCCCGAAACTCAGAGCCAACAGGGAGAAACCAGCATAAACGGCTTGTGTCAGAGACCTGCTCTGCTACTTTGTCAGTACGGATAGTGCACTTGAGGTATCTTGAGAAATGAAGAGCGCATGACAATCGAAACCGCTGCTCCTCGAAACTGTATTCGGCAATGGTTTGCATGAACATGGCCCAGCAGCCGTAGGCCGCAAAAGCAATCAGAGTGAAGGGCACCGGAAGTACAAGCCAGACGAGAGCTCCATTATTTACAAGGGACTCTTTGGACTTCGTCCGCGAACTCTCCCAGCTTAGCTATCAGTGAGTGAGTTCCACACAGAGGCGTCTGAGTCGAGCCTTCTGAGCCTTCCTGCTTGTATACTGCATGCGGTGTTGAAATGTTGCCAGTTTGTTGTCATTCGTCCTGATGCTTGACCATGCAGCACTATTGGCAGCATGCTTGTGCATGTGAGCCTGGTTATCACCATGATGGTAGAGCGATGTTTATTCCAGTGCGAGCAGGTCATGACTCTTCACGAGATGGATGCTGCTACTTTTGCGTCTGCGTCTGTGCCCTGCGTACCCTGCTAGAAGCCGTCTGTTCACCGATCCTGTCCATATTCTTGTCTTTAGCACTGGCCGACTAGAGCTCGGCTTTGAACTGGCCATTAGGTTTGCCCAGCTGAGCGCATAACACAGCAGTTGACTCAACAGCACTGCATGAGAGAAGTTCCACAATCGATATATCCGAACTGCAGTGATTTATGGACATTTGTCGTGTTTTGATGGCTTGTGGGCATGACCAACTTTAGCCATCAAACACGTAAGGCCTCACATCATCAGCTCCATTGTAAATGCAAGAATGCCAGAATGAAGGCCTTGCAATATGTCGACGCTCCATGAAGCAGAATGTAGGAGATGCTTGCCCAGGACCGGGAACAACTCCTCAGTCTATTTGGGACCTCAAAAGCAGTTTGCCGCGAAACATTGCGAATACTCCATCTGTGCATGAAGTCGCTACCGGAGTTGTGCCACGAGCCCGAGCTCAGATCTCTGTGCTTCAGTTCCTTTGCATATGCCTTGTCCTCCTTCGAACAAGCATGGCAGTCAGTCAAACAACAGCAGGCCTTAAAGCTGAAATAGCCTTGTGGCATGACTTTCGGCTTAGAATTTTGGCTTGGCTCTTGACAAATGCGGGATGTCATGTGTCTCACGTGGCTTGGCCGAGTAAGTTACGGGAGCAGAACTTGTGGATTTGACCAGGCACCGCGTCACACTATCCGGTTCATCATCCACGCCATGGCCCTTCCCTAAGTTGGCAAAATAAAGCAGTTTGGAATGTTTGGAATGTCAGCTTCGGAAACTGAGGCAAGCTTGTTCCACTTTGCGCGTGGCGCTGGAGGGTGGGCTGCCGCGCATCACCTGGCACAGGCTGTTTTGTCCCTGGATATAGCTTCCGCGACGGTAGTGCCACATGAAGGTGTTGCTCCATCACCATGACGCCTTTCTGGATGGTGCAGAGCGCAAGCAGGCCAAAGTCACAGAAGTCACAGCAAGTCGGGCAAGGTGTGTAGCACTTTTGAGGTGATGCACGTTCTGACGACCACACGGCATGGGCGCTTGTCTGGGTGTTTGGGAACCGAGATGACCAACGCGCTTTCCCAAGCAATGCAATTGTGAAGTGGCCTCCTTGCCAAAATTGGCGTCAGAATCGCGCACAGCCAGGCGTGTCCTGTGTGCAGAGCCCCCGCAGACTTCCTTGCACCGGCCTGTGACAGCTGCCATGCTGTGCAGCAGGCTTACTGTGAGGCTTAGTGGCTTAGCGCCGTAGAGAATCTCATTGTAGTGAAGTTGTAGTCGTCGTTAGTGTCCAAGTTTGGCCAAGGTTTGGAGTCGATTTCCAGAAGCTCACCATTTGTGATGTACGGAAAGCCACGACTTGCTTCGAAGCTGAGAAAGAGAAGTCAACACACGCATGTGATTTTGTATGGCATGGTAAGAATACCTGGCTTTGGCATGCTGAACATCTTCGAACGGAGGCACAGTGTGCAAAGCAACTTTCGGACAAGGCCTCCTTTCTGTGACTCCTGTGACTTATGTGACTTGCCCAGCTGTAGTTACTCAAAATTTCTCTTTCTGCCAGGCGATTCGGTGCCTGTGCAGAATGAACGTAGAAGGCTCTAGATTCAGGGTCGTTTCTGTCTTCAGTTGGTGACGCAGCTTGAAAGCATTCTCATTGTTGCTTCAGAACGAAAGGCAAGCGGGGCTGACTCAACCAATCAAGTCGCAAGCTCAAGCCATCAGCTGCACTGTCATAACTAACGCTAGCCTTTTTTGGCGCAGCTGCCTTTGATCCAACATGAACATCAGACACCTGTGGCTGCGGCTTGTGATGGTTGCCACTACTTGCTACGCACATACACATGTCCAAATCAATGGTGCCAACTTGCCAACCACAGGTCCACTTTGTGTCCAGCATGCGCCGTCGGGGAGCTCTACAAAATTCATTCTACTGCATCGTTTTAGCTCGCCGCAGCTTGCCGCGTTCCCGCTGCATACTGTATTGCAGCCGCAGGCAAGCACTGGCAGGAACCCTGCGAATGCACAAGTACGTTGCCAAGAAATGGGCGCTACCGTTCCGGGGTTCTGTGTCTCTGTGATACCTTTACGCAAACCAATGGGCCTGAAAAGTCTTTGCCGAATAGGCATTGACCCGTTTCCAGTCTTCGTGGCGACTTGTGCAAATGCACCTCCATGCTTTCTGAGTATAGAAAGTTATAAAAAGTCTACCCTTCGCCGCGCGACTTCCCTTAGCGCAGCTGCCTTCTGGCGGATTCGGATTCCCGCGCCTTGTCAGCCTGCTCGGCCTGCAGTTGATTTTGGCTTCAGTATTGGGGGCCTTGGGCGTGTCAGAGACGCTCATCATGCAGGGAGGGTATGGCGGTGGTGGAGGCTACGGCTACGGCTATCAGCGCCCTGCCTCCGATTCGTGCAGAACCAACCAGGATACGGTTTCGTCCTGGTTCAGCTTTGTTTCTGGAGGACATGCGTCGTACACACATAAAAAATATTGATGAAACACAATCCGGACCACGCAAGCAGCCGATCCATGAGGGGTATCATATATACATATATGTATCTGTATATGTGTTTATGTGTATATGTGTATATGTGTATATGTGTATATGTGTATATGTGTATATGTGTATATGTGTATATGTGTATGTCTATGTATATGTATATAGTCATGTTCGTATATTTGAAGGTATCGAGTCCACGGTTGAACATGTGCACCAGCGCATCTCAGGCAAGGTTATGGGTATGACCCGAATATGATGTACCAGCAGCAGCAGATGTGGCAACAGCAGCAGGCTTATATGGCCCAGCAGAGGCATGGCAGCATTCAGTTTGTTGGAGTTGAGAAGAGCCAAAGGCCGCCTTGTCAGCGGAGTCAGTTCAGTCAGTTCTGAGGCAGGGCTATGGAGGCTTTGGCCAAGGCGGCCAAGGCGGCCAAGGTGGCCAAGGCGGCCAAGGCTTCATGGGCAAAGGACAAGAGCCACAGGGGCAAGGGCAAAGCCCACAAAGCCAAGGCATGGTTACAGCCACCTGAGTTCAGCTTGGGTCATCTCCTTTCTTGTGCTGTCTTGATCTTTCTTGACATGTGGGAGTGAATGCAGGCGGCTTTGGTAAATCTGGCGGCAAGAGCAGTGGTGGAGGCAAGAGCAGTGGTGGCAGTGGTGGCAGTGGCGGTTCAGGACTCGGAGGGGCCAGTGAGTCTTGGTCTTGACAATGTCACAAGCGAACAGCCATGCAAAGACATATGATTGTTATGCTTTGGAGTTTTGGTGTTGTCTTTACTACTCGGGCTTGGATCCTTGCCTGCCATTTGCGTGGTGTGTGAGCACGTAAGAGTCGACATGTTGTAGTTGTCGGTAACGGGCTCACATTGTGTACATCTTGCAACATGTGTGGCTTGCTCTGCGAGATAGTGGTTTCGCAGGCTCCAAACGCGAAGTTTGGGCATGCATTTTGGATCATGTAGGGGCGAGCGTGCTCCGCAAGGGTACGCTGGGACTTGGGCCTTGAAGCTCGGGCTCGTCATGGGCTTTTGGGCGGGGACCACACCGGCAGAATGAAGTTATGTCATGTGTCTCTGAGGAACGAGGCAAAGGAGGCGGTAAGGCGGCAAAGAATCAACCCACGGTCCCTCGGCAGCAATGTGGTCATTGCGCTTGACTTGATCTGCGAGTGCGTTGTTTTTGGGCCGGTGTCGTAGATGTCTTTCTTCCTTCAGGAGATGACGTTTGAGGAGTACAAAGCCGAGCAGAAGAGACAGGCCGCTGAAAAGAAGGAAAAGCTGCTGAAGCAGCAGGCGCTCGGCAGATGACCCATGTTACATGTTTCACAAGTGTTTTTTTGAGGTGCTATTCTGACAACTAACTTGACTGTGCTCTGAACTGCAATGTTGAGGAGGAGGCGAGGGCTGCTGCCAAAGCGCGTGCAGAGGCCTTCGAGCGGGGGGATCTGCCGGCCGAGGAGCCCAAGGTCGCGGAGCCTAAGCCACCAGAGCCCAAGGCACCAGAGCCCAAGGCAGAGCCTAAGGCACCAGAACCCAAAGCGGAACCTAAGCCGGTCGAGAAGCCATCAGAGCCCGAAGATGATTGGGAGGCAGAAGCCGAAAAGGAGGAACCCAAGAAGCCGGAGCCAGCAGCGCCAGCGCCGGCAGCACCAGCGCCGGCAGCACCAGCGCCGGCAGCACCGGCCGCACCGAGCAAGACGCCTCCAGCACCAGAGCAGACTCAGGAGCCCCCGCCACAGGAGGAGGAGCCAGAAGAGATTGTAGAGTCTGTAGAGGTCAAAGTAGAAGGGAAGGACGGAGATCGGAAGGTACCTGATCCTCGTCCCCATCTCAACGTGGTTTTCATCGGCCACGTCGATGCCGGCAAGTCCACGACCTGCGGCAATATCTTGTTCTTGTGCGGTATGGTCGATGAGCGCACCATCGAGAAGTACAAGCAGGAGGCTGCTAACAAGGCAGGTGAGAGCTGGTTTTTGGCTTTCATTATGGACACAAGCGAGGAGGAGAAGGTCAAGGGCAAGACTGTCGAGGTCGGCCGGGCTGCCTTCGAGACAACGAACCGCCGTTTCACAATCCTTGATGCTCCGGGGCACAAGTCCTACGTTCCAAACATGATCGCTGGAGCGTCGGCAGCTGATGTTGGGGTGCTCCTAGTTTCTGCTAGAAAGGGCGAGTTTGAAACTGGCTTCGAGAAGGGAGGGCAAACTTGCGAGCATGCCTTGCTGGCAAAAACGCTTGGGGTCGAGAAGCTTGTTATAGCAATCAACAAGATGGATGACCCCACGGTGGAGTGGGATGAAAAGCGGTACAACGAAATTGTGAAGAAAATAGGAGCTTTCCTCAAAAAGAGTGGCTACAAGGATGATCAAGTGATTTTTCTGCCCATGTCAGGGCTGATGGGAGACAACATCAAGGAAAGGAAGGGCACTCCTGCTTGGTACACAGGGTTGACCCTGCTTGACTCTCTGGATGGCATCTCCGTGGCTGGTCGAAAAGCAGATGGGGCCTTGCGAGTTCCAATGATGGAGGGCTACAAAGACATGGGCGCAGTCACAGCCATTGGCAAGATAGAGCAGGGCACCGTCAAGCCTGGCATGAAGTGCATCGTGATGCCAACCAACAACAAATGCACAGTGAATGCCGTATTCATCAATGATGTAGAGATGCAGTATGCCACGTGTGGTGAGAACGTTACTTTGAAGATGTCGGGAATTGGTGATGAGGAGCTGAAGAAAGGCTACGTTCTGTGTGCCGACAAGACTCCCATCCCGGTTGTGTCAAAGTTCAAGGCGACCATTCATGTAATTGAGCTGGGACCTGACAGACCAGTGATGACCTCCGGGTATGTTGCGGTCATGCATGCGCACACCACGAGTGAAGAATGTGAAATTCTCAAGTTGTACGAGACGATGGTCATTCAAACGAAGAAGAAGGAGAAAAATCCGCAGTTTGCAAGGCCTGATTCGGTGGTTGTTTGCAGCATCAAGCTGGCACGACCGACGGCCGTGGACACATTCACGTCGTCCCCGCAGCTGGGTCGATTTACTCTTCGAGTAGACGGGCGAACAATCGCAATTGGCAAGATTACTGAGCTGCCGAAGTCTGCAGGAGATGCCTGAGGTGCATGTGAGACTTGCTGTTTCGGCAGTTGCAAATGACGTGTCTAGTCTTGTTTGAACAATGTACCTGCTACCTTTCAGCAAGAACATGATCGCTCTATGCACAGTCACATGGCAGTCACAAGAGAACGATAAACACCGGAGGAAAGGCAACGGGTACGCATGCTCAAGTATGCGTGCTCAAGAAAGCCCTAGCAAATTTCCAGCGTCGCTGGGCCTGTTGGAAAGATGTTTTACATTCACCGATTCACCGCAATAACATATCCAGCTAGATGGCAGCGTTTCCCTAGTGCCGTGTGTGCCCCATATGACAGCGCTTATTTGCAAAGCTGCTGCGTGGCCCGCATTTCCGAAATTCTGCAAGTGCAGGGCCCGTGAGCTTCCTGGTGCAGACCATTAGCCGCCAGACGCCAGTTTTGCATGTGGACAGAAAAGGCATGTCAGCATGCGCCTGTCGAGCGAGTGCAGTGTTTCTATCGAGGCAGCTCAAGGTTTGATTTGTTGATGGAGTGGAAGCGTGCCCCCTTTGAGATCCCTTGAGTCAAGACCTGGCCACACCTTTAAGTGACCGGAACTGCTGCCGTTCGCCGCTGTTTCATATCTCAGACAGGTCCAAAGTGCATTAGGACCGACTCACGGTTGTCGCTGAAGAGAGTTAGGACCCAGCCAAAGGACAGAGTAAGTACAATGATCGTGAGTATGCGCCTGCGAAGACAGCAAATACAGATTAAGACGAAACGTCTTTCTTTGGCAGAGAACACTGCCTGTCCTGCCATGAATCGCTACAAGGCGCCTCGCCACACATGGTTTTTGCAGACTCTGGTGTTTTATATGGGTTCAAAGCTAAATTCGCAGGCAAGTTGCTTGACCTGGTGTGGGGGACTGGAGCCCGTTGAAGGTCACCAAAGTTCTCGGCGATGGCACGTACGGATCTGTTCTACGAGCCCAGAACAAGCAGACCGGTGAGGCTTCAGCCGTGTAGGCTGATGCTGTTATTCATACCATTTCATACCTGCGCTGGCCATGTAGCACTTCTCTGGATCCAGCCTTCCCACTCTTGAAACCTGTTCGCACACTTGAGTTGAGACATGTTGGGGCCATCCAGCCATCCAGATCTCATGTTGATGATCTGTGAAGTTCGGCACGGAACGCGACCTGCACTGCCAGGTCGTTGCTATCAAGAAGATGAAGCAAAAGATGCTTGACTGCACTTCATGCTGCAAGTGCTGTGGCCTAGGCAGGCTTACGTTTGGCACCTGTCTTCTTGAAAGCAGGATGTATAGCTGGGACGAGTGCATGAAGCTCCGTGAAATCCAATCACTTAGGCGGGCTGTCGACATGCCTGTCCGATGGGGATGCTGAATGATGCTGAACTTGTGAGGCAGCTCATTCATCCCAACATTGTCAAGCTGAAAGAAGTCATCAGAGAAAATGACGAGCTCCACATGGTCTTTGAGATGATGGAGGCGCGGAGTTGCTTGGCTGACGCATTGAAACGTCGGGTGCTGGCAGGCGAACCTTTACGAGTTCATGAAGTCCAGGGTGCGGTCCTTGCCCGAATCCAAGATCCGAAACATAATGTTTCAGACCATGCAGGCCGGGAGCCAGAGGAACCTCCAGAGTGCACGTGACTGCTCATGATTGGATTGGCAGTGGATTTGCGTCATGTGCTTGGAAGGGCCTGCACTTCGTACACAAGACCGGGTACTTCCATAGGGACATGAGCCTTGGCTTATTTCACACCCACTTGGCTCACGCCGGATGGCCTCTCAGAGCAAGTGTGCTCAAAGTCCCAATCCCAGGAAGCCAGAGAACGTTTTGGTATCTGGCGACACCGTGCCTCAGCTTTCTCAAGCCTCAACTTTCTCCTGCCATTCGAGATCTGGGGGTATGGACCGGATGTGGAGGTGAAGCTCGCTGATTTCGGGCTTGCGCGACAAATTCGAGCTCGGCCACCATTTACTGACTATGTTTCAACTCGGTGGTACCGAGCTCCAGAGGCGTGTTCTCTTCATTTTGCGCATGCTCTTTGCTTCGCTGACTGTCCCCAATGCGCAGGTTTTGCTGCGAAGCCGCGTCCTCGAGATTTGCATGCTTTTTTAGCGTCTGTTGTATACATGTGTTGTACAGCTGTGCAGCTGAGAGCAGCGCTCAGAAGCTTGGCCCTGGATAAAAAGGCTCGACCTACAATTCACCCATTGATATCTGGGCATGTGGTGGTATCATGGCCGAGCTGTACACTCTACGACCTTTGTTCCCGGGTTCTTCCGAATCGGATGAGCTCTACAAGAACCTTGCCTGCACAAAATTGCCAACTGCATGTCTGCACGATCTGATGGGCACATGCTTGCAGTTAAGCCCGCGGGTTCTTTGCCTTATGATGTGTGCGTGAATGACGATGTCAGGATCTGTTCAGTTCTTGGGACGCCAACCACTACAAGCTGGCCTGATGGGTTTAAGCTTGCATCGCAGCTGCTTGGCACCAACGGGTCCTACCGGTAGAAGGGCTGGGCTGAAACTTTCTGCAACTCAGGATCAGCTATCGATTCCCGCAGTTCGTGCCAACGAAGCTCGAGACCTTGGTGCCCCAATCAAATTCTGATGGCATCAACATCATGCAGGCACAGGTCTCAGTATGTGCTGTGCATGTCTGGAGGGCTTCAAGTTAGCGTGGAACCCCAAGGCCATGATGAGCTGGGATCCTGCAAAGAGACCTTCGACCGCCCAAGTATTGAAACATCCTTACTTCGAGGTTGCGCTGAGTGAGCCAGACTCTCAGGGTCGAAGGTGAAATAAGCAAACGCCAAAGTCTGAATCCTGCTGAGGAAGAGGAAGACCCTCCAAAGAAGTCAGAGCGAACGAGCGCTTGTTAAGCATAGACCGGCCAAAACACAGCGGCAGCACCAGCATCCACCAGCAAAACGTTCAAAAGACAAAAAACAAGAACGTGTGGATGGAACGGCAGCAAAACCAGGTCAGCCATGCTCGGTTTGAAATACAGGGAATGCAACGATCTACACATTCATATGCTCCACATGCTCCGGTCTAGCAAGACCTGCATGCCTTGTCATGCACAAGGAGCTGATGTACATGAGGCACTGTCAAACCGTGCAGTGCGCATCGAGAACCTTGTGAACCAGGGCCCAACTTGTAGCGGTTTGTCTCGCAAACCGCAGAGTTCCGCCGATTGGAGAAAAGTAATGAAAATAAAACACGCACGCTGCCGCCGCTTATCGTGACTGTGGGAAGTTCAAATTCATGGGCCTTCTCGTTCGAGTGGATTAGGCTCTCTTCCTTTTCACTCCCAGGCCCAGGCCAGCCAGAGGCCCAAACCAAAGGTCTAGGCCAGAGAGGCCCAACTGGCATGGCTGCTGGGCCCTGGCTGGGTGTGTTGAATGGACTTCGAAAAGCGTCGAAGGTCTTCTTTTATTTTACTCTTGTTTTTCAGCAAAATGAGTGGATAAGATGTTTGGGATTTGGGGCTTCTGTGTGGAAACTGCTGCAAACTAGGTGGATGTAGTATCCGTAGAGAAGGTGGCGCTAGAGCACCAAGCACGGCGCCTAGGTAACCCTCCCGCGAAGATGTTCGACCGGGGTATCAGGGGTGGCCCCTACGGCCACCTATTTTCTCGTTGTTCTCGTAATTCTCGCAATCATCTAAGGTTCCAAGTATGGGCCTCTTCTATACACTATACATACAAAAAAGGGCCCGTACTTCGGATCCCTGGGACCATACTTGGGGCCCATGGTTCCAACCTTAGAAATCAAGCTTCAGTCTAGCGAGACAACGCCAGTTTTTCTTGACAAGGCTGTATCGCACCCGAAAAAGAAGCTCGCAGCAATCGAAAGCAGACAAGGCATGCCCACTCACGCCACAAATCGCCACAAGGTCGCAGCAGCACCCAGCTTCTCAGCTTCCCCATCTACCAGACACGGGCTGAGCTTAGCGTTGGTATTCGTTGGAGTTTTCCTTGCCTGCATGTACATGTCCTGTGGTCATTTGCCAGGCTGGCGGTTCGCAGGATCAAAGCATGCCAGCTCGTGCCCCTGTGCCTTCTTCGAAGCCGCCTGCACCGTTTGCTGCTGCACAGGCCTCACAACGAGTCACAACGCGGAATCAGTTGTGCATGTGCATGGGCGAGTGAGTGAATTAGCGAGAAAGTGCTGGCATCCGCTGTGCAGGCTGGCCAAGTTACTACCAATAGCTTCATAGGCACCTGCCCCAGTCACAATTACTGGCGTTGCCTCGGCGGTTCTTCTTCTTCTTCTTCTACTTCTTCTTCTTCTTCCTATTCTTGTTCTTTTTCGTTTTTCTCTTCAGCCAGTTTGGTGAGTTAGTGCTCGTGGCCAACAGAACTAGCAGAAACGCAACTGTTGCTGCGGCATGATGAACTTGGCCCAGCAAGCGGTGGACTTCCTGTCTTTGTCTTGGGTGCATCTTCCATGACACAATCAATGTCTTGCAACATCTCGGCGGATGCAGCGCCATGGATACTGTCCATGCAGAAGTTGCAGGATTACCGGACCTGCGCGGCTCTCCAAAACTATTCGCCCAAACCTCCAGCGAAGCCTCCAAGCTGCCTAGTCAATGTCAACCCGCGACTTCAGTTGACTGTATTTGTGCACACATTTCGACTTGTGCGGGATTCAACTTCTGGACTTCTGGACTCTGTCGTGATGCTCCTGTCTCTCATACTCCTATCTTTTCTCGTCCTGTCTGTGTTCTTCGAGGCTGTGTGTGCTGAGTAGGTTTGCCTGCATCAGAGCTACATGTGCTGCTTGTGTCGTCTGCAGCTTGCAGCAGAGTTGCCATTGGTCAGCTGTGTGGCCAGGCACAAGGGGAAGTTGGAAAGGCGATGTGTCTCGGGCGTATTCTGAGCACTGTGGCAAAAACACTTGTTGCGCTTATGAGGGGCGAATGGCTCGAATGGGTCGGTACAAGGTGTTGCAACATCATGCCACTGAGGGCAGCCATCCCAGTACTGGCAGACAACACTCCGGCAAGGACGGGCCGGCTCATGTCAGCGTCACGCAATTTGCAGATTTTTCAGGGCTGACGCAGGAGAATGCGGCGAATGGCTCCATGGGCTTCAATTTACCACCCCTGAGGACGCCATGTGCTGTGAGCCAGAATTCAGTTTCTGAGCATGGGCACGTCCTGCAGGGGTGAAGGCCCAAGCTCTAGCGCGAAGAAAAGCAACTTCGGCTGGAAATCCGTTTCAGTCTTGTTTGTTCGTCTTTCCTTTTTGCATCGGGTAGCTACGGCCCTGCAATCGTGCAACTGGTTTGCCAGCACTTCAGAACCAAGGTTCGCAATAATCACCAGCGGCGGGAAAACCATTATACCAAAATCACGTTTATGTGTAGAACACATGTGTTCGAAGTGACAACTCTAGCGAGTTCTCTGTTTATGCCGCTTCAACGTGGCCATTAGGTGCCCGAACTTCCTGCCGCTCGACCATGACATGTTGACTGGGGATCCTTTTGCTCTCGTGCCCTACAAATCATTGTCGACATGTCGTTCGCCTCTTTCTGTAGGCTTCGAAGGTGTTCTGTCACACCCGCTCATTTCCTAATCAACCGATCCAACCCCGACCGAGAGCGAGAGGCAGAGAGCGAGCGACCGAGAGAGAGAGAGAGAGAGAGAGAGAGCGCGATGTGTGGAGAAAGAGAGAGAGCGAAGAGAGGTGTGAAGAGAGAGAGAGAGAGAGAGAGACCCACTTGGCCGTCGCGGCCAGGTCTCTCCCACCGGGGGGCGCCCTAAAGTGCGCATAAGAAGAAGAAGAAGCAGAAGAAGCAGAAGAAGAAGAAGAAGAAGAAGAAGAAGGAGAGAGAGAGAGAGAAGGAGAGGGACAGAGAAAATGGAGAGAGGGGCAGCATGTTCGAAGACAAGAACGTGAAGCACCCTTGAAGACCCTTGAACGATGGGAGCACAATCAGAAGGGGGACGAGAAAGCCTTTCCGTCATGACCCACTAATCCCCAGTGGCCGGAACGTTACCCTCATCCACTCGGAACCTCATATTTAAGAGCCACCTCCACGCATATCTGAAGTGGTTCTGTCAGTCTTCGGAGATCACGCACCACCCCCACCCCGAAGCTGCCAGCCTGCAGCGAGGGGAATTTAAGCAGGACTGGAGAACTAACTTTCCGTAGCTCCCGTTATCATGTGGATTAACAAGCTGTCTGCGCACTGCATCCATGATCATCCATGTCGTCCTGCAACCTCTGTCAGCCCTCGTCCAATCAGTAGTGCAGTTCGGTCGGGCCAGATAGGAGTGCACGTTTTTGGCCAAGGCATATTTTACCCACCGCTTCCCGCAAGCTGTCTGCGCACCCTGACATTTGTTCTGCCCGCTTGCAGTACCCCGCCGCTACTTGGGAAGCGATATTCACCACCATAATGTGAAAAGGGGGAGTGTGCTTCGACAGCCACCCCGTGACAACCATTGGGGGCAGCATTACAGACAGGAGCTTCGGACGTGCGCACCCTCCGGGGCAGCTCCCTTTCGGGGGGCTACGCGTACGGAGCGAGGGAGGGAGGTATCTTCCACAGCTCAGTTGAGCTTCCCCATGGCGGTTAAGCTAGCACACTGAGCACACTGGCCCCCAGTTCCGCAGCGGTCTCTGCCGGCAGCGGTTTGGCTGTACTGAGAACTGTAGCCCTGTACCTTACATCATTGTCGGGGATTTGCAAGAACGCCCTAGTGCTCTCGAGGTCCTGTGGCTGAGACTTCCTCACGACCCACAGGATGACGTCTGCCATCAGTGCTCTCACTGTCTCCCCTTCTGCTGTCGTCCCACTCGCGGGTCTTGCGTCGCGTGGTATCCTGGCTTTTAGCTTAATGTGTGCACCCATGTTCAGCAGCCCGGGTCCAATTCGAACTCGCCCCAGCACCTCCTCTTAAGGTGGCAAATGTGCACCCTGGCCCGGCTGCTTTTGAATGTCAATGGTGGGAAGCGGGAATCTTGCTCATGCCCGGGGCGTGGTGCTTGTAGAGTCTCTTTTGCGCTGCGAGGTTTGCCGAGAAACCCGCTCAGCGTAGCTTGTGGCCAAAACCATGGTCCCCTTGTTGGATCGTGCAATTACGTCATATAGCATGCGGCAAGCCCTCCCTGACGTCCTTTAGCACTAGCGACCCTAGGGTCTCTGGAGGATGCCAGTGGGCTGTTGCGGGTACAGTATTAACTCGTCAGAGTGGGGAAGCCATGAGGCTAGCGTCATGTGCCTGCCGCACTTTTGTCGCCTTTACTCTGAACTGTGCTAATCAAGCTCGCTCTCAGCGAAGCTTGTGTCTGAGACGATGTTGGGGGGGGGGGATGGGGTTTTCAGCATGAGTTCCTCATTCTTGGTTCTAGATCTTCTCTAGAGTCGATATTTAGCAACAGGTCGGAACCTATTCGATTTTGCCAAGGCCCTGGTGCCCGCTACTTGAAGATGGCACGCTACCAGCCAGGCCTTGATCAGAGCCTGCAAAGGTAGAATCAGAGATCACGGGCTATTGAATGGAAGGTATGCAGCAGGCCCTCGTTCCTGGCCGTGCCGAGTTGCCGCAGTTACCTGCGCCACAAGCGGGGATTGGTGCATCGCTTCCACCGATTATGCGCAAAGATCCTGCCCCTGCCTTGTTCCACTGGATGCGCATGACTTTGCAGGGTCTAAGCTCGTTCCTCCTGAAAAAGCTTCATATTCATGGCTCAGGCATTGCCAGAAAGCAGTGGCAAGCAGAGTTATTTCGGGGCACATGCGGCCCGCATGCTGGGATGAGGCGCCTGATAAGGTTGGTGGAGGATTTTGAAGGTTTGCATCCACTCCCTGAGTTGTCCCACACTGATGTTTATTACATAACAAATAATTGCTACCCCCCCTGTTATCCACCATTTTGTTGCTTTCCATGGTACCTCTACTACCTTTTGCATGTATATTTGGAAGGTTGTGACGTCATATGTGCGAGTAAAAGGATATTCGCTCACAGTATTCTCGCGTCCCCGGGGCCTACAGGACATGTCTTTTTCGCGTCACCCTGTGCGCTCGAACGCTTCCTAGTCTTATGGTTCGAGGCCTACCATCCTTCCTTTTCCATGTTCTATACTTGAATATACAATGCATGTACCCTATAAACGTACATGATGTGGGTACTTCTTATGCTTTTTCTGTACATTTCCACAGGAGGCAAGCCCTACATACTAAAAACATAGGCATAACCCTATGAGATTTAAGGTTTAGGGATTTAAGCCTCAAGCCCTATATTATATGGTTAGAAGGTTCTAATCCTATGGGTTAATGCCTAAACCTTACACCCGATAGGGCTTAAACCCAAAAGGGCTAACCCCGTCAGGCTTTAGAGAAGGTTGAACTGCCTAAACCTGAGGCTTAAATTCTAATACTTTACATGCACTCAAGGGTTTAGGGTAATGCTGACCCTATAGGGTTAGACCCTATAGAGCTAATATTAGACATAATCTCCGAAAAGCCCTAAGGCTTTTAACCCCTAAAGGGTTTTAAGGTTTAGATGCCTAAACTTGAGGTGTAAATTCTGATATTTATGTGCATTTAACTCTCTGGCTTAGGTTTTTTGCCCAGCTCTTCAACCCCGAATCTTTACACCTTAACCCTATAGGTTAAGGGTTTAGGTAAGGGTTTAGGGTTAAGGCTTGCATGCCCAAACCTTAAGCCCTTGCGGCTTAAACTCTATGGCTTAGGTTTAAATGCCCAGTTCTTCAACCCTGAATCTTTAAACCTTAACCCTATAGGTTAAGGGTTTCAGAAAGGACTGTTGTGAGGCGGAGTTGTTGGGTAATTAGTTTTCAGTCATTTAGTAAGGTTTAGGGGTTAGTAAACGCTTACAACTTTAAACTTATGGCCTCACAACAGTCCATTCGTAAGTGGGGATCTTGACCATTATGTTTGGCACAGTGAGATGATGTTTTCAAAGAGTGACATGTTCATGAGTTTGGGGGGAGGGGGGGGGGGAGGGGGTCCTTGGAAGTTGGCCCATCTTGAACTAAGCCGGCAAGTAAACCTACACCCTTAACCTTAAAGCCCTGGGGTCAAGGGGGCTAAGGTTTAGAGGTTAAGGGTTCAGATTTAAGCAGGCAAAAAAGCTAAGGCCATAGAGTTTAAACCAGAAGTGTTTAAGGCTTAGGCATGTACAAGGGTTTAGGGTTAATTGCCGGCTTAGGTTAAATGCCTAAACCTTAAACCCTAAACCTTTAAACCTGAACCCTATAGGGTTTAGAGATTAAGGGTTGAGGTTTAATATCTTCACCCTGAAACAATATAGGCTTAAAAGGTTGCGGGTTGAAAGTTTAACCCTAAACCCTTTAGGCTTTCAGGCTTAGGGATTAACACCTGAAACCCTATGGCGTTTCGTGGCTTCTCTTTACAAACCCTACACCCTTAACCGATGGAGATTTTAGAGATAAGCCCTGAAAAGCCCTTAAAGAATTCAGGGAAGCGGAGCGGAGGGGAGCGGAGCGGAGGGGAGCGAAGCGCAGCGGGGGAGGGGGATAGCAGAAGTTGGAAGAACCCCCCTCCCCCCGCCCCCCGGAGGATTGAACTTCAAAACTCGGGACCCATTCAAGATCCCGGAGAAACTTTTCCCTGGAGCCTTGAATCTTGAATCTTGAATCCCGGAGTATTGTTCTTCAATCCGGAGTTTTGAACTTCAATACTCCGGATTCAAAATTTAAAGTTTCAAGGTTCCAGGGAAAAGTTTTCCCGGGATCTTGAATCCAGGGTCCCGAGTTTTGAAGTTCAATACCCCGGATTGAATTTCAAAACTCGGGAGCCTGGATTCAAGATCCCGGGGAAACTTTTCCCGGGAACCTTGAATCTTGAATCTTGAATCCCGGAGTTTTGAACTTCAATCCGGAGTTTTGAACTTCAATACTCCTTGTCCCTCATCGTGCTTGACCATTGAAGCCTTGAAATTTAAGTACACTATGCACTCTAGAAACACCAGTAACTAGACAAGATCGTCACACAATAGTATCAGAATATAACAAGACTGAAGCTTTGAAGTAACGAAGCTCTGAAGTTACCTATCCCCCCCCAAAACGGGTGGATAACGGGGGGGGGGGGGGTACCAAATTATTACAGTACTGCAACAGCAACAAGCACGGTCAAGCCGGGAAGCCGAAAATCCGAACGAGAACACGGATACCCCCCACGCAGGGGCCCCCCCACCCTTCCCCCTCCCCGCCAGCCATCGAGCTTGCTCTCCCCACTCCCCACAGTCCACACCTCCCCACGCCCTCCCGACCGGACATTGCCACTTGCTTGTCCTTTGTTTACACCTTCCCGACGCCTTCCCCATCAAACCAGGTGCTTTCCTGTCAAGAAATTAGCTTGACGGGGAGGGCGTGGGGAGGAGGTGTGGACGAGGAAGGGACCGCGACATCCTTTTGACAGGGAGGGTGAAAGTTCTTCGCAAGAGCACAGACAGGCTGGAGCATGGTACTGCGGACAAACACATGCAGAGTTCACGCTTGAAAATGTCGCTGCGTACACTGCGTGTGCTGCTGCGCGTTCTGACGTTTACAGCCACGACAGTTCGGACCGCTCAGAACGGAAAGTCGCCCCGGACAGGCTGTGGAGTGCGTCAACGTCATATGTGCTGCAGATGGTACAGTTCAGTGCCTGTAAATTGGGCACTTTAACTGCCTTTCCAGTTCGTTTTCGTGGCGTGACCCACTCTGTATGCAGAGCCCGGAGTCCCTCGTCTCACCTTGAACGCCTCACGATATCTCAAACACTGTATACATATGCATGTGCTGTCTTTTCCGAGCTGTCCCTGCATTATTTGATATCCTGCGTTTCCGCAACTCTATCTACGTTAGCGATTAAGTATGTAAAGAAAAATCATCCCGCCAGGGGACACAGCTCACACGATCCATCATGGGCGCCCATGCCCATGCAGCATGTACAGTCATGCCGGCTGCCAGTTGAACAGCTTGTGCAGAGTTGCGAAGACGCCTGGAAGCAGGCGAATTCAGGCGTGGTTGAAGCCAAAATTACGCTCCACAAGTGCTACCGGCTAGGGGGCGATCTCATGGAAGAAAGATGATAATGAATGTTCAGAGTGTCTGAGTGCTCTGGGGCAGCTTGTCAACACAATGGCGCTGCTGGATGTAGCATGAGATGCGTACTCATCTCCGGAACTCGCATTCACAGTAGGTGGTCCCTAATGAGTCACACGCAGCAATGAAATGGCGGCAGCACGTTGCCTGATGGTTGATTTGTGGAGGCTGGATGTCGCGAAAAGCGAGCTCTGCGCAAATAAAGTTTCCTTTTGACAGGAGAGCGATATGCAGACCGGAGTGCCTCCGTCTCAACCTCGAGCTCTGATAGCAGGAGCATGGCACGAAGCAATCTACATGTAGACGTTCATGGGGTCATGTCTGTCCTTGGTTTTTGGCTTCATTGGCTTCGTGGGTTCGTTTTATTATAAGCATTGAAAAAGTTTAGAGCTATAGTTGTCCCATGGATGCGTAACAGACTCTCGTCATGAGGCCGTGTGCCTCGTCGGGTTTATCTTGTTGAGTTGCAGTGGTTCCACGCAAACATGACGTTGCGCAAGTCATGCGCTTGTGTTCGGCCGCAAAAGAAGCGCTAGAATAACTTAGCTTCTGCAATCGGCATCTGACCGATTTGTTCAGGAGTGTGTCTTGCGCTCTGCTTCTTGGGCACCGCTCCCAGTACATCTATTGAAAACATTCTGGCGACCCCCCTTGACAAAGTTAGGCCAGTTGGCAGGCTACCCACATTGGGTTGGATTGTTTTCCAGCACTGGCTAGTCACGGCTAGTCGAAGGCCTCCCTTTGCCGACAAAAGGTATCCAGAGTCCAGATTCTAGATGCTTGTGTGACTTGTTGCTGCGGCAGTTGGTGGACGAGATCTAGAAGCTGACAGTTTTCTGAGGCCTTTGGCGGACATCCTTACCTGGCTTTCTTACACAGCCTGCGAGGTGAACGGCTCACTGACTTAGCCTAGCCAAGCCATGGGTCCAACTTGCATGAGTAGTAACAATCTGTGCTGGATGTGATGCCAGAGTTCGGAGCACGTTGCGGTCTTTAGAAACGGGGAGTTTAGCTACAATGCTACAAGTATTGACATTGGCGTGCAGGCGACATGCTAAAAAACGTACGAAGGTGCCGGTGCGATGTGGTGCCCCCAAGCTACCTCAGAGTTGCTCTCCTTGCTTGTCATGGCAAAATCTCGCGAGATGTTTGTGTGCTAGTTTGTGTTGCTGAATGTTGCTGTCAGGTCTTGAGGTGCGAGAGGTGGACGGGCTTAACCTAGCCAAGCTGGACGACTTGGCATGCCGCTTCAACGAGAGGTGCCCCACGGATGGGATGTCACGCGCCGGTTGTCTTGTTTTTGGATGCCACCTGCAGGTACATTAGTGCCGGACTTCTCAAAGGAGCATTGCTTGCTGTCGTTCGGAGGGGCGAGGCTTGCCTCTTGTGCTATGTTCTAGGCTCTTGGACCCCCCTTGACTTGTGTTCTTTGTTGTGACCCCATGCGGCGATGTGCGGCCATGGCGCCGGTGCATGTATTAACGGTGCCACTCTCCAGTGGGTTCACAATCCAAACCCCGAGCAGCTTCCAGTTTGCCGGATCTTGCCGGCCTCATCCGGCCTCCGAGCTCCCGGGCTGATGTCAGCCTGTTCTTTCTGTTCCCTGGACGTACCTCTACATGACTCTACGATACACGTAATCTACTTATGCTCTGTGATACTCCATGTGCCAATGTTCCATTGCGAGCGCCCAGGCGGACCACTAATTGAATTTGCCCCACTTGCCCCACTTGCCCCACTTGCCCCACTTGCTTTTCCGGAAGAGCTAATTGATGTTGCCCCACTTGCCCCGCTTCGTGGCCTAGAAAGGCTAATTACGGCTAATTGGTATTGCCCCACTTGCCCCACTTGCCCCACTTGTCCGGCTTGCCTGGAGCTTGGCAGGAATGCAGGGCAAGTGGGGCAAGTGGGGTAAGTGGGGCACCCCCCACCCCTGCCAGTGGGCAGGGCAAGTGGAAGCCGGGCAAGTGGGGCAAGTGTGGCAAGCGGGGCAGGCGGGGCAAGCTGGGCAAGTGGCAGAAATTCGCTTAGCGGAAAAGACAGGGCAAGTGGGGCAAGCAGGGCAACTGGGCAAGTGGGGCAAAGGGGTTTCCCGCTAAGGAACCAAAGCACGTGGAGCACGCGGGGCAAGTGGCAGAAATCAGTTAGCGGTCCCCGTTTGCACGCGCACTCCAATGTTCCTCTTTGCTGCGACGCGCGGAGAAGGCGCAACCCTCTCCCGGCATCTGCAATTAAATAAAGGATCTGCAGAGAAGACGTTGAGGGAATGTTCACGTGCCGACCGGCTGTGGGACGCATGGCTAGCGATGGCGAGCCGCTGTGACACAGCTTTTTGCTTTCTGCCTAGGACTCGATCTTCACCCCTGCCTATCTGTGTCCACGTGTTTCCGTGTGTTGACAAGCGCATGTTAGCTCGCGTTCGTTCGCACTGGTCCTGCTCCAGGTTGTGGCTCTTTGGGAGCTGGAACCTCAGAGAATGCAGACTGCTCGCCGCAAGTGCGCCGGACAAGCTGTACATGCCAGAAATGCAGACCCGTATTCCAATTATTCCAGGCTGGGTCAGTACACATCCAAGACGATCTTCAAGCTGTACTCTATTACGAAGGCGTTGGCCTGTCATCGGCTAGCTGGCATTGGTAGATGCAAAAGAAAGGCACTGTGAATTGCGAAATCTGCCCAGGTTTTCACGGCAATTGCCGGCTTGCAAAGCTGCGAGGCTGAGCTCGAATTGTGGAATTGTGGAGTGGTCCACGTCTGTGCAAAGAGATTGGGGCACCATCTCTGTGAGCGATTCCGCCAGGCGTTGCTCAAGCTAATTAGAATTATGAGGAAGTTCCGATCATGGTCGCTGGCTTTGCTTGCCTGTTTCCCTCTCCTGACGTATGTGGACACAGACTTTTCGCTCCGTCCCACGCCAAAGCTTCATCGGCATGTCGCGCGAGCCAATGCTGCCAACACCGTTGAATTGTCGCCAGTTCACACCGAATTTCCTAGAGTGCCCCACATCAATGTAGAGCTTCATGCGGACTGTGTAGGTCAGCCGGCGAACCGAAACTGTTGCTTTATGCAGGCTCTGGTCAAGGCTGCCTACATAGATGAGGCCCAGATTTCAATCGCCAGCCTATGTCGGAAGGGACGGGGGTATTTGCTGACCTGACACAGGAGGCTGTGGAAACTGCTTGTGCCGCGCTGGCTGTGAACGTTCTCAAAGGCAACGTGGATCAGGTGGAAGCGTTGATGGTGGTGAGGAACCTACCTGCTATCGCTGGTTTTTTTTCTCAGCGGGTTTCAGGAATCGGCTCAGGTGTTGAAGTCCATGATGCCGCCGGAGGATGGTGCAGCAAAGGTACGGGGTCCACCGCCATATGCGACACTCGAAAAATCGGAGCTGGTCCACCAGCCGCATCACCACGACAAAACCATGAGTCAACCTTCCATTGGTCGCACAAAGCAAAGGTCTGCAAAGCAAAGCAAGTGTTGAATACCTGAGGTTTGGTCTGAACACGATCCTTGGCTGATTGAACTGCTTGGTTTCTTCATAGTATTGCTGGTTGCCGACCTCAGATTAACTTAGTATTGGTCATTGTGACACCTTCGGCTTCTGAGGACTACATGTGCGCGCCCTTGTTCTGGTCCGCGTACCGCATCATGGCATGGCTGCAAGTCGTCCAAAGCTCGTTCTGAGGTCTGGCCCGCAGGAAAACTTGCGCATCCTTCAAAGTTATGAGGCTGGGCTGGGCCAGCAACGGAGGGGACCTTTTGCGCGCTTTGCAGTACATGGCTGTTGGTATGGTATTGTCTCACCGTGTATCGTAGCGCATTACATTCTTGACTTCGTTGGTATCATGCCCCTTGTCGAACCGAAATCCATCGTGGTCTTGTGTGCGAGCTTCCTGCCTCGCCTCGCCTATTCCTCCTTTGCTCACTTCAGGCTATGGAGAATTGCTTCACCTGTTGCTGCCGTTTTGACTGATTTGCGTGAGCAGGGCCTCAAGTGAAGGTGGAGACACGGCTCCGCATGATGGAGCCGGATGTTATACTGCACGTGGATGCACATGGCAAAGAACTCTCCTCTCCATCCTTGCGAACTCCAGTGAACCTGGTTCGTCAGAGTCTTCCCAGTTTCCATCGTTCGCATGGAATCCGACGAATCCATGCTTTGCATTCTTCTCTTCGTGATCGACAATTGCATTAGGTTTTGGAGAGTTCGCGCGTTTGAAAATTAACATTGAATCACGCCCACCATTCGAGGCACGGTCGTTTGCCTTAGAGGCAGATGCTCCGGATCCATGCCAGCCGGTTCTGCCAGCCGGTTGTGCGACTTTCAAACCGCCCGCTGCACGTCTGAGAGGGCCACCAGACACCGGGAGGGTCGTTCCGCTGATCTGTCTCCATCTCCAGCTGGGAACCTGGTGGGCGGCACTGAGAGTTGCGGAGATTTGGGGAAATGTCGATGGGGTACGCCTCAATGCGATTCCCCTCCACGGTTCATGGGGCACATCGGTCATGACCCCCGAACAGGGCAGGGAATATCTCAGAGGATGGCAAATTTGGTCGTGGGCAGGTCCGTCAACAAGTGATTTTGAGCGTCGTTTTTTTTCCGCTGAGGTCAGCTTGAGTTTCGCCACTCCGATGCGTTGGCTCGAACTCAGCCAGCGTTTTTGAGCGAAAGGCGAAGCCGTTTACAAACGAGGGCTGTGCTGCGCCTCCAATCCCTCCGCGAACAAAGCCAAGCAAAAATAGAAGCAAACGCCAAGCCGTTTGTTGGGTCACTCTTAGTCGCAATCCGATCCAAGGCGGAGTATGCCAAACGAGCGCAGCCCTTATATTGGGGCAATTGAAAGTCAGCTGGCCTCACTTCACACTGACGAGTCTTCTACCCTGATGACGATCCATGTCAAGGTGTCATTCTCGGAAGAAGGGTTTCGAGATCCCAAAGTCCTTGCGGGAGCTCTAGATCTTGCAGTTGATCCTCACCTGCAAACTCCATCATGCACGATGGCTGGGGGAACGTGCGGGCTGGTTGACTGGCATGGCTATGCAGCATTCTTGGACCTGAGGCATACTTGAAGAACTATGCCGTCGACAAGGCGGATGCCCTTTATGTATCTCGCCGCAATGACAGGGCTCAGGCCAGGAATAAAGGGTGCTCTGGTCCATTTCTTGGCAATGAGAAGACCGATCGGCAACTTTACCGCTTCCCTGGCCGGATGTGCCCTCAAATACTTGCATATATCAGTTATGTACTGCAGGAAGCGCAAGTCCGCGGCAATTCGCAAATTCGCATAGAACGGGCTGCTCTATTTCACTCACACGTTGATGGTGCCAACATGCGTCTTTCAGGCGTTCTAAACTGAGGCGGCAACTGAGCCGTACTGTATGGAACGCGGGCTTCCATGGGATGCGACTCGTTAGCAGTCGAAGCTTTATCTCGGCTGCACTGGCCCTCGTGCAGCAGAGGTGAAGTGGCTCCAGGACTGTGCCACACTGCGATGCAAGCAGCAGCGGCAACCAGAGGCATTGAAACAGTCTTCGCGCCAGCATCTCCTTTCAGTGTTCGGCCGGACCCACTTTCATTTTCGAGTGCCGCTGCGCCATCCGAAGCATACCCCACCCCAGCGTTTCATTCAGGCAGCTGTTCTCCTCGAAGAGGTTGCCAAAAGAACGCCGCCACATCCTGTGGCAAGACAGCATTTGAGGCATACATAGTTTGTTGAGTACCGGATCGTGAACATTTGTCAGCCCAGGCAACTCTGAACAATCTTGGGACTGTGTATAACATGCGCCTCTGTTGCACGAATTCTGCTTCATGGTACAGAGGGCGATTATTGATAGCTTTTTGGGTGGGAGCACGTCGCACGATTAGAAGATTGTTTTTTCTTTTTCCAGAAGGATGCGCGACCACGAGAAAGCCCAAGAGTACTTCCTGGCTGCGCAGCAGGTTGCTGGACACGATGAACCCGACAAGGATGCGGCTGACAGGCTCAGCTTCTGGCTTAAAGAAACTTAAAGAAGACGATGTGACCTGCCAGGACGATCTGTGGAACATGGGCATTGCCAAGAAGCACCTGGGCCAGTACGAGGAAGCATTGCCGATGTTGCTCCAGGCCATCATAAGTTCCAGATTTGTGCAACAGAGTGTAAATGTGTTGGGTTTTTCTCCACAATTGTTTGGCATGTCGAAGCAGGCGCTAGAAGGCTGGAAAACGGAGGAACCAGACGACGATGTGACCATTGCAAAGCTGCATGACACTGTGGGCAGTTGTCGGTCGCCTCGGCTTCTGCGTTTCGATGCCAACACTGGCCGCCTGGCCAACCCAGGAGCACATAAGACTCCCTGACACGGAAGGCTTTGACCTGATGGGGCGACCTGAAGAAGCGGTTGAGCAGTTTGCCTCCGCCCGCTTGCTTTTTGGGCGAAGCATTGGGGCGGACAGTGTCTCTAATGCAAGAGGCGCAGACATGCAAAGCAAATGCCGACTACAGGGAATAAATCCGAGGCCCACTGTACGGCAGCGCATGTGAGGGATTGACGAAGGCATGCGCGTGCATGTGGTCTGTATGTGGTCTGTCAATCAGTGTAATTATCCTGGCTGGGGAATCTGCGATCCTCGTCGCGGAAGCACTTGGAAGGCACTCCTGCATGCCGGCAGATATACGGAAGCATTTGACAGGCTGGAGGACTGCTTAGCCATGTCTCGATTTCCTAGCAATTTGTGCATTCGCATTGTGAAGAGGAGACCTTCCTCAACCATGCTCAGCCACTCACTTTCACTCGTGCGTTGGATTCCTTTCTCCTCTTGTGCATTCCATAGCATGCCGCAGCATACTGGCAACACGGCATGCGGCACAAGAATTGCAAACATGCCTGAGGAAGGATGCAATCCACCCCACACCGGTTTTTGAGCTTCTAGGCCTCGCTCTCGAAGAATTTGTTGAGCCTGGACTTAGTTGCGACGTTGCATTGTTTGTTTGGTCCTCTGCAAAGCCCACTGCAAAGGGAACCCTCTGCACACAGGAGTCTTACCCATTCCCTAGGACAGGGGCGGCATAGATCCCTTGGAGCTTGTGCGTCTGGAAGCCCCCATGGAAGCCTGGTGGCAAAGACTTCTTCTCAATCGTTTCAGCTTGTCCGCACAGAACAACCTGCTGAGGAAATAGCCGTGAAGAACATGGTGTACAGAGGCCTGGACAAAGATGGAAACGCCGGGGTGGTTTTTGAAAGAATGGCGCAAGTTCTGCTTCGCTGCAGCGGCCTGTCCAGAAGGAAGCATTGAGGCAAGACCATGGCCTTTCCGTGCAGTCGGAAAATGTGAGTGGTGCTGCTCTGAAACTCAGGCATGGCCCAAGGAGATGAGGCTCAGCAGCGCAGCGCTGCACGACGCCGCGAGCTGGCCAGGAGTCTTCTAGGCGCGCATGGCCCGGCACGAACCTGGCATTTCGAATCGACTTTTATAGAAGAGTCTGATTGCCAGTGCGCGAAGTATTGCAAAGTGAGCGAATCTGCCGAAGGCCGGGCGGCACCCCTTGTGGAGCAGACGACTCGATCAGGAGAAGCCGACTTATCTCACATCAGTGTTGACGGCTCAGTGCTAGTGCCGGCTACCAGCCTCAGCAACATCCTGGGTTGTGCTGTGCGCAGAAGTGAGCCCAGGCATTGATCACTATGGAGCTTCAGGTTTTGGATGCTCAGGATGCGGTGTACAGAAAAGCCTTAGGGTCTGCAGATCTGGGAACGCCGGCTCTGAATCTGTAAGCAGGTCGCTGCTCGTGCCCCATTGCAACGCTCTTCAGGTGCTTTGCGCCTGCTGTTCCTGACAAAAGGTCAGATTAGGTCAGCATATCTCAGTGCAGCCCTGGCGAGAGACACAAAAAACACAAAAATAAGTTGGCACCTGTCTCTTTCAGCTGCCTGCATGGAGTTGGGCTCTTTTCTGCGGTTCAGGAGCATGGCATCTCTCCCGAGGCCCCTGTCCGGCACTGAGGAATCGTCATCACTTGCAACCATGTGCGGCCCATGGCAACTTGCGATCCAAGATTAGCTCTTTGGTCCCAGAATGGCCAGCGGATTTGCCTGGAGACATGTCAGGCTTGGGAGCTTTCAAGAAGTGGCGGATTGTGGTGCCATGCTGTTGACAGGTCCCTCCACGGAACCACTTAGGCTGAGGCTGCAGACGCGTAAGCTTCTTGAGAATGCCCAGCAAAGTTATCGGTCCTACTTTGTAGGCATTGCTTGACGCACACCGGTGGCTTTTCGAACGCTTTGCCGACAGTCCATCCAGTGAGCTCGCGCTCCCCTCATGCTTAGTGCACTGTCCATCACTGTCCTGCACGACCGACGTTCAGCTGCACCACAGTGACATGAAAGTGACATGAGATTGAAATGAGGCTGCGTCCTGCAGAGCTGCGCAGGCTTCGAGAGCGACGCAGCTTCAGCCTCGACACCGTTGCACCTGGAATACATCTTTGCAGGGCCACGTAGAAGCTGACGTAGCTTTCTGACGGACGGTACTTGGGAGGTTTCGCCGCCCTAGCCTTCGATCCTATACTCACGAAAGGGTCTCAGAGCCAAACTTTTGTTCGGTCATGCTGCCCAGCCAGACCCCACAACGAGGTTCAATGAAGTGCGTGTGGCTGAAAAGAAACCTTCACACTTTTCTTTTTATCTTGTCTGGCGAGGTTCTCGAAAGGCTTGTTCGGCTTCGGCTTCTTAGCAAAGACAGCACGAGACTTGTGCCGTGGATTGCTAACATAGTCAGGCGTGCCATGAAGCAGAGTGATTATTTCAGCGACATGCCGCAGTGATGTTCCGTATTGACGGTACTCACGCATCCCTCGTCGTCACTTGGGAACCCAAACGACGGCCATCGTTTAATCGCAGAGTTGCAGTTTATTGCTGCATGAAGACATCGTCGTATGGACCGATGTTTGTGCACATGCACATGCACATCCACATGCACATGCACATGCATGTGCTGGGGTGTTTGGGGGTATTTCACTTGCTGCAGTATGAGGCAATGCCGTAAAGCCGCCTCGGACCTTGAAAGAAATGGCTGGTTGCCGAGATTTGAAGGGTGTCATGCTTGTTGTGACCTTGTTGCGTGCGGTAGCCGTTTGCTTGGATGATCGCGCAAATGAGGTGCAGCGTGAGAGCTCGGTGCCGAGTTGGGATGCTGGCGTCAGCGCACGTCGTAGAGAGTGTTCCATCGTAAGGGGCTGGCAACGCGGGAATTCGCTTGTTATGTGCTGGCACAGTCACGAACGCTGGCTCCTTGGAGCTTGCGAGAACTGTCGTTTACAACCTTTTCTCTCTCGTGTTCAGGTGGGTCAACAAGCGACCCTAACCCGTATTTTCTGGTATGAAAATCAATGAGTTAAAGGGTTGCCGGGTGGGGGGGGGGGACAACCGCCCCTCCCCCTTAATTCTGCCAATCTTCGCCTCCGCGCCCAAACCCCCATTCAGGGTTGCGTTCATTGATTTCAGGGGAGGGGGGTGGGGGAGGCTCCCCTCGCCAGCTTAGTCGCTTTGCTTGCCACTTGCTTTGAGATTTGTTTGCGGGCCCCGCTCGGTTCCACCCGATGGCGCTTTGTCATGAAAGGGCTTGGGCTTAGCGAGGCTCCTTGCCTATGCTGCCACCTTACATTTCACCATGTTCAACATCGTAGCTGGTTTTACATTTTATTGCATGCTCACGGTTCTGAGTTCCTGAAGCGTGAAAGGAAACAAATAATGGAGCATGTCTGCGCCAGGGTTTATTGTGTGCATGTTCAGTGATTGTGTTGCTCTGTTTCCCACGCATTTGCTACTCCCATTTGCTTCAGCCACATGCCTGTGTCCGTGTCACATGCAACTAGTTGGTTTGGTGGAAGGGCGCCATGTGCATCGATACTTTCTGGTTGCCTTGACGGGGGAAAACAGTTGTGGATGACATTGCGTGACTAGACTAGAAGATAAGCAAAAGCAGATCAGCAGATTATGTACTTCGAACGTCACCCTAAAGGCATACAGGATACAGTGCTCTGCGGGATGCGGTGTCGGGATATCCGTGGATGGACACTCTCTTTCGGTTCTCTGCAGGGTGGGCAGCCCCTCGGGAAGCTCTGCAGATGAACACTCCAGCAACACTCTGCAGGATTCTCTGGGGGTGTGGGATCTTCCGGAGGGTGCTCCGACAGTGACGGTGGGCACTCCAACTTCTTCTCGGTCCTCATACTGGTCGATTCGCGTTTGCATCAGGAGAAAAACTCTTCAACTCGCTATAGTTCACATGTCCCAACATGTGCGATGTCGCTCGGGTCAGACCTGGTGAGGGGTATGCCAAGTGCAGATGCCACGAAGGCGTCCAGCCCCACATTTTCGTTCCGGGCAAGCACTTCAACTACTGCAGGTTGCTCAACGCGATGCTCTGGTTGCTTGTTTGAGTTTGTCCATGGAGCATTCAGCGGCATCTTGTCGCATTGCAGAGGTGGCGCTGGCAGCCAGCTGGTGGCTCGAATGGTCGAGGAAGTCTCTGGAATGAGCATCGCTGAGTGCCTCTGGGTCCCTGGAAACCTGTCCATTATGAAAATTATTGAAAATTTGCTGGGAGATGCCGGGAGGTACATGAAGAAGCACATCTTTGAGCCCATTGGAATGATCGACACAGGGTTTGCAATTGACCAGTCCCTGGCCGAGCATTGTGTTTCTGCAGGACGCTTCCCCCCCGACTTACTTTGCCAGCTGCCACTGCTGATTTTTGCACGATTCGGGTGTCGACCCAGCACCGTTTGCAGACTATCATCCCTGGGTTCTTCCAGCTGTAGCAGATGGCTTGGCTGGATCGCGCTTGGACCGCTGGAGGCGGGTATGAACGGTATTGAGTAGGGAGGATAGGGAGGGCCCTTCATAGCGACACTGCTGCGAACTGGGTGATCTGGAGGCTCCGTCTGCGCTCTGTGCTCGCCAGCTTGTTGGACGCCTGGGGGATCCTGAGATATCCTGAGTCAGTGGCTCTGTAGCTACAGGCGAGCATCGATGATCTCTGAGGTGTGGATGTGCGCTGATTGATGATCTTAAGCCGGCTGGGAGTGGGGTGACATCTCCGCTGAAGCTGTGGAACAGGTCGTGAGCCGACACAAATGCAAGCTGACTGCATGTTGCGCTGCAGATCTGTTTGGCAATGCTTGCAGGTCTTCTCAGCTGTACCAGCCTGATGCGGGACTTGTGGGTGCGCGAAGCAGTAAGACTTCATGCGCTTGTTCCGAATTGGGGTGCCAGAGTCTGTTGCTGTTGTGAGGGACAGGCGCTGACTTTGCAGTGATCTCAGAATGGGGGACCATACCAGCTTCGCGAAAGCCTAGTTGTGGCTTGTTGAATCCGCTTCAGGTGCGGTTCTTAGAAGTTCTTACTAGAGATGCCCGGCCCTGATCTACAATGAGTGGAGGTTGTTTGGAGAGCGACTTGTGATTGTTTCCTCAGGCTTCTCGGGATCCCGTGCTCAGTCCGCGGGATCCTGAATCTTGAGTGAGCTGCCCCGATTTAGGTTTGATTTACCATACGTCGACCAGTCTCAAAAATATGTCCTAGGAGTCCATAATGGTGCCGTCTTAACCCGAACTCGCGAGCAGCGTCCTGCGTCAAAGCAGGGTGGATAGTCGACCCATTCAGCTGGCCATACGACAACATCCAGTTCAGGGTGCACTTCTGGGTGCTGCACATGCTAATGCTCATAGTGCGGGCTTCATGGTGCATAGGGAAGTCCTGCCTGACCTGCGAAGTTGCGGGAGAACTCTGTACTTGGTCCTGCAAAACGGCACAAACTCTTTCCTCATTTCCGGTTTGCATCTCGAGAAAAGCCTTAAAGGCAGAATATCATGGAAGAACTGGTTCCTCAAGGCTCCCATGCCCACCACAACCTGCCACGGCCCGCCACAGCCCACCACGGCCCACCATGGCCCTGTGCAATGGAACGGTCCTGCCGAGTCCTGCCGAAGGATCCGCATCGTGGAGGCCAAGCCTCGAAAAGAAAAGTTTCAATCCGATGCCAGCCGGGCACAGCCATGGGTGTCAAACTGTCAAACGACCCCAAAGGATGACAGGAAATGTACGAAGTTTTACCTTTAGTAAGGACAGTAAATATTCATAGTGTCTATGCGCCTTTTCAGGGTATAATATCGCCCACTTGAGAATTAGTCGCTCCGACATCGTCAAGCATCCCAGCAATCCCACGTGAATTCAGGTCCCGCTTCATTCGTCCCCAGATGCAAACAGCTTTACCTTGTTGTGTCAGGAATAGCTGCAAGTCAACAAGAACAACACCAGAGAAACAGCAGCTCGAGAAGCTAGGAGGCTACGAACGAGTAAGTGTCCCAAAGAGGTGCCATCCAGCTGGTCGAGCCATCTAATGAACTACTGAGCAAACTTGGTGTTGGCGGCCAAATACAGGTTTTCCTGAAGGTGTGCATCTTTGAGGCAATGGGTTCCTAAGACTTCGTGACGACTTGCTTGTACCGCCGTGCAGACGAGTGTTGAACGCGCCAGACTGTGTTGCGTATGTTGACTTAATTTTGGCTTCTGTTGTATGAAGAAGCGATGAGAAGCGACAGGAGGGGGTACATGAGCTGCTGGCTTGAGTATCGTGATTGCAACGTTTTAGCAACTTTCTAGAGCTTGAGTCAAGTTTTTGAGGTTTGTCTTGAACGCGTTGGCCAGCCCAGTGACATCAGAGCTCCAGGACCTCTCAGCTTTCTGCCGGCGTAGTCATTGATTGATTGTGACAATTTGCCTTTGTCACAGGCTCCCTTCGCTCTAGACGCCCCAAGTGTGGTGGGAAGGCTGGTGCAGTCCAAGAAGTTCTGCACCAGCAACAGACTGGAAGTTCCGGAAGTGGCTGTGTTTGACTATTTTCGAGCGAGGCTGTTCCCTGTGCGTGGAGATCGCCTTCCAAGGCATGGGCAAAAGGAGACTGAAGAGAGGAGGGAGAGGGAGATGTGAGTCGGTTCCATAAGGCAGAAGCCGCTCCGTCCCTTCAACAGTTTTCCGGGGCAGAGATTCTCGCTGGGAGCGCCCACTTCTCAGATCATCTTGGCGATCTGCACAAATTCTGGTCATGTCTACGTAGAGTTTACGTGCCTGCACAAGCGTCCCAAGCGTGCTGCGAAGATGAACCTGTGCAGAACCCAGCAAAGAAGGTCGGTCATCTGTGATCCGGAAAAGGCCGGAGCATGAAAACACTTGTTTCGATCCTTGCGGCGAGGAATCGAGTTGGCATGGTGTGGGGGTTGTAATTTAGCAAGCTTTCTGCATGCTTCTTTTGCGGGCTGCGGTCCGAGTCTTTCCCATGCTCGCCCCACGGGGTCTTGGGTTGGCCCCTGATGCTCTTGATGCTCGCCATGATGTTCATGCTTTTTGGTGCTCGCCCCATTGGGTCCCTGGGCAGCGAACACCGCCACAAAGGTACCGGTTGCACACCACGTCTTTTATGCTTTGTTTGCGCCCAGTTGGTGGGCAACGTTGGCTTGAGAAAGGGTTTTGCAAGATTTTGCTTTCGAGGTTCGAGCGTGGGGTGGATGCTAGGGGAAGCCTCTCTGTACCCTCCCTCCATGCCTTCCTAAGCCTTCCTACTGTGAATACATTCAGCAAGAAACGGGCGTTGATTGGATTAGACCTGGGAAATTTCTTGTTGTAATCACAAATATGAGATTGGCTCAGGGTCTTCCAGCCCTCCAGCCCTCCAGCCCTCCAGCCCTCCAGCCCTCCAGCCCTCCAGCCCTCCAGCCCTCCAGCCCTCCAGCCCTCCAGCCCTCCAGCCCTCCAGCCCTCCAGCCCTCCCCCCCAGCCCTCCAGCCTCCAGCCCTCCAGCCCTCCAGCCCCTCCAGCCCTCCAGCCCTCCAGCCCTCCAGCCCTCCAGCCCTCCAGCCCTCCAGCCCTCCAGCCCTCCAGCCCTCCAGCCCTCCAGCCCTCCAGCCCTCCAGCCCTCCAGCCCTCCAGCCCTCCAGCCCTCCAGCCCTCCAGCCCTAAGCCCTCCAGCCCTCCAGCCCTCCCAGGATTAAGCCCTCCAGGATTAAGCCCTCCAGGATTAAGCCCTCCAGCCCTCCAGCCCTCCAGCCCTCCAGCCCTCCAGCCCTCCAGCCCTCCAGCCCTCCAGCCCTCCAGCCCTCCAGCCCTCCCTCCAGCCCTCCAGCCCTCCCTCCAGCCCTCCAGCCCTCCCTCCAGCCCTCCCGCCCTCCCTCCAGCCCTCCCTCCCTCCAGCCCTCCCTCCAGCCCTCCCTCCAGCCCTCCCTCCAGCCCTCCCTCCATCCAGCCCTTTGTCCAGCCCTCCCTCCAGCCCTCCCTCCAGCCCTCCCTCCAGCCCTCCCTCCAGCCCTCCCTCCAGCCCGCCCTCCAGCCCGCCCTCCAGCTCCAGCCCTCCAGCCTTCCAGCCCTCCAGCCCTCAAGCCCTCCAGCCCTCCAGCCCTCCAGCCCTCCAGCCCTCCAGCCCTCCAGCCCTCCAGCCCTCCAGCCCTCCAGCCCTCCAGCCCTCCAGCCCCTCCAGCCCTCCAGCCCTCCAGCCCTCCAGCCCTCCAGCCCTCCAGCCCTCCAGCCCTCCAGCCCTCCAGCCCTCCAGCCCTCCAGCCCTCCAGCCCTCCTCCCCATGATAAGAAACCTGCCGTATATGCCAGACCTTCCAGCCCAGCTATGCGGGCGGCAAAAAAAAGCCGGAGATCACGGGTGTGAAGCCCTGTTGTAGCACGCAGGCTCATGTACAGACCAGGCAGCAATGCGGGAGTAGTAAAACAAGAAACAGCGAAAGAAAAACGTGGGGTGGGGTGGAGGGGGGTGTTGTGGGGGAGGGCTGGGCGGGGTTGGGAGGGGTACCCAGGTTCAGCAAGTCGCAGGAAAGGGGATTATGAGCATGAAACAAAAACTTGCGTAAATCAAGACTTGTCTTGATGTTGCATGCGGTCTGGGTTTTGGCACTTTTCCTCGCGAAGCGATAGGGGCCCACACTAATTCGACCCCCCTATATATACATATGTGTGTATGTGGATCTGTGGGCTTGCAAAACCTCGAAAATCGATAATTAGGGGCCGCCAAGCATGTTACGCAACATTCAGTGAGCAATTTGGGCCGGCGCTCATCTGCGTTTGACGTACACTAGAGCTTTCGTCGCCTCCTACCGGGGTTCAAGTATGTGTATGGGTGCTGCCTTCTAGTATGTACGTGTATATATATATGTATGCATGCATGCATAGACTGTATAGTAAGATCTTGAAAGTAATTATCTAGTATAAGTATACACACACACACACATATATATATATATATTTATGTTCTTTCAACTATTCTCAACAGAGAAGTGAATCCAAAAAGCCCGAGCCAAGTGGGGGCTTTGGGGTGAGTGTGTGATCTATGAAGTAGCGAAAGAAAGAAGATGATAGGGGTGCGTTGATTATATTCACCCAGATATTCTTGTGTTACCACTGAAACGGCGCATTAATGATACAATCGCAAGGACGACCTGAACGAATGTAGGACACATGAAAGATATTTTCAGGGGCGTTCTTTCACTCATTTCATTCGTTCAATCACTAGTTGATGTTACGTTCACTCCGCAAATGAATTTGCTAATAGTGCGCGATAGGAAAAAGCAAGCCAAAGAACCCTTGACAACAGTTACTATATAGGTTTTTCTTGGGGTGCTCTCTTCGTTATATATATATATATATGTATCTACATATATATATATATGTGTATTTATTTATTTTTTTTTATGATGTCGGTGCGGGGCCCCCCTGTCCCCCTCCCCCCGCCTGGTTTCTTTCTGATCCCCGCCTCAGCTTTGCCTGGTTGCAAGGTTGCTTTGCCTCCACGAGCTGCCGGAACCTGGCATTGGATGGGTTTTGCTGCGATCTGAGTGTTCTGAGCTCCTGGAGACGATTGCAGCTCTCGTGAAATTCAAGTGAAAGTTCTGGTCATGTCCTGCAATCACAACATATTCCTAGCAAGAAGTATAGAGGTTGCAAATGAAAGAGCGGGGGAACAAGGCCTCGACATACTTTTTCGTCAACCCCAAGGAGGAGCTGGCGGCTTGCTTCCTCACGCAGCTTGTGTCACACAGGAGAATGCGAAGTTGCGCCTCTAGCTTTTCTATGCTTTTCTTGTGTCTAGCCCGCCAGTCGTTGTACGGCCCGCGAACGTGAGGACATACCCTATACTCGACGAGTTAGTCCGGGGCGTGCATGACGCACTATCGTGACAGCAAAGCGCCTCCAAATGTTTCCACCTGGTATTCTCATGCGCAATCGGTGGCAGCCTATCATGGTTACATTGAATGAACCCGCCAGAGTTCCTGAAAGTGTAATGCATGAGCAGTCCTTGCGCATGTCGGTCCTGACGTGTGCTCGCGCATGGCCCAGCTTGGCATGCGTTTACCATGCGATGTTCTTTCGACATTGCCAAGAGCACATACCGGCACGACAAACGGCCTGATAACGTGATGAGTAGGGTTGCGGCACAAGTATGATGACGACACTGAACAGACATCCATGGACAAAGTGCCGCCATCTGCGGGGGCTCTGTAATGGATGACCTGGATTGGCAAGCAGCAGATGATGGTCCGTCAGTGGAGGAGATCGAGAGGTTTCGGGCCCATTTAACCAAGCTTGCTGGCAGCGTGCATGTTGAATACTGCAGGTGTGCGTCTGTGCTACAACGGATTTCGCCTTCCGAATCTTCACCGCGTCCACAGCAGCTGTTGCGGTTGTTGCTGGTACGTTTCGGTATAATGGGAGTCAGGATGCCAAGGCATGATTGCGTGACTGGCCCAGGACCTGGCACGACCAGAATTTGACAGTGTCCGACAGGCCGCACGCGGCTACCTACCACAATGACAAGTTTGGGGACTAGTTTGGGGAGTTTTCTGAGCACGTACACAGCGAACACCCGCAGAGCACCGCAAGGCCGGATTGCCACTGTGGTAAACTCAGCTGCGCTCAGTCCAGCTGAGTTTGGGTGTCATTGGCAGATGTAACAAGCGGTCCTGAGTTGCTTTCTTTGCCCAGGTTCCGGAGGCTTGTCCTAAAAGAGAAGTTTGGATCGGAAGAAGTTCTGGACTTCCTAAAGCAGAAATCGGCGCCCAGATTGGCAATACAGTCATGTTCCCATGATGCTGGGTTCCAGCTGCACCCTGATACTACTGCACTGATTGGAAGCCATCTGAGGACGTGCACCAGATGACGCCTGTCACCATTGTGAGGTCACAGTGTTGTGGCATGTTGTGAGTGGCGCCACTACCACCACCTACTACTGCCTACGACTTCCTGACCACCTACTACTACCGACTACTACCTACTACTCCCTACTACTACCGACTACTTACTACTACCTACTACTACCTGCTACTACCTACTGCTACCTACTACTACCTACTACTACCTACTACTACCTACTACTACCTAGTACTACCTACTACTACCTACTACTACCTGCTACTACCTACTACTACCTACTACTACCTACTCCTACCTACTACCTATTACTACCTAGTACTACTTACTACTACCTACTACAACCAACTACCTACTACTACCTACTACTACCTACTACTACCTACTACCTACTACTACCTACTACTACCTACTACTACCTACTACTACCTACTACTACCTACTACTACCTACTACTACCTACTACTACCTACTACTACCTACTACTACCTACTACTACCTACTACCATAGTCTTGCAAGATCTGAGGTGTCTGTTATGTTGGTATGGTTTTTGCCAGATTCTGGCTTCAGATGCCGAAATTTGGGTATGTACAATGCGCAGATGTACACAGCATACTGTAGCCGGCCTCGCCGAGAAACCCACCAGCGCGCACTTTTTCTCTTCACTTTCTCGCTACCTGGTAGAAGCTGGACCTGCGACAACCGTCACATTCAATTAATACGCAAGCCTACGCAAATGCAAGAGCTTCTTCCCACATCGGGCTGCTGACAGTTTCCCGACACAGCTACTCAGATAGGTTCGCACTTGGCATCCCGTGATGGACAAGCTTGTCGCTAGCTCTGTTTCTTCATCCCGCTCAGCATATTTCGTGGAGCCAGGAGTACGAACTGGTAAGGGGAGCACGTAGTCCTTGTTCTGCTTACTGCTGTGCCCTTCCAAGGACAGTCAAGCTTGAACGCCTTCATAGGGTGGTCAAGGATGAGCATGAGAAACGTCGCCTGAAGGCTTGGCAGTTGCTCAATGTTGCTCATAGTGTCTTTACTTGAAGGGATCTTGGAGGAGGGTGCATCTTCAAGTTTGAGGATTGCAACGAGGCTCCGTGTTGTTTAAGTACTGTGCGTCTTCAAGATTTCGGGAAACAACCTGGGACACTAAGGATTTGGATTCGTAGGGGTATTGAAACTTTTCGAGGACCCTCAATCCCTACGCCATTCTGTAAGCAACACTATGACTACGTCCAACTACATCCAAGCAAGCGTGTGTTCTTCTGGGTGTGGCAGCAGAATCTTAAAACCTGAGTTGTGCTGCCACGACGGTCTCAACCAACCACTCTGTCTAAGTGCTAACAAGCACGAGAGAGCGTTGTTTCTGAGTACACGATGCTTCTGAGGCAGAGACGTGCGGGATGAACCTGCGTAGGAAGGCGGACCTTGCGGCGATCAAGGCGGAGAGCGCCCTGCCTCTGAGAGACGAACAGGACGAACAGGACGGGGAGGCCTTGGCCTTGGAGGACGCCCTCAAATCCCTCAACGTCAAGGATCGAGAGGCAGGAGAGGCAGAGGCAAAGAAGGAGAACGGGGAGAACAACGGGGAGAACCGGGAGAACCAGGAGGACCGGGACGACCGCTCCTCGGCTCAACGAAAGGACAAGGGCAAACCGAGTCAACTGAAGTTTGGAGAGGGAAGTTCTCTGACAGAGGCTCTTCTTTTGGTCGAAAATCATGCCATCAGGTCATGGTGGTGATGGACCGGACGCTTCAAGTGCCGCGAAAGCCGACGTGGCCCGGGAAGAGTTGCAGAGATCCTTTGATGCAGCGAAGCTTACACACCAGAGAGGTTGCATTATTCCAGGATGCAAAGACGGATCAGTCAGCAGACCGGACTCACTCTGGACAACATTGTGCTGCATTATGCGCACAACGTTGCAGGAGAAGCACAACTCGCTGCTTATAAGCCAGCATGTCACGCCCAGGATACAAGTAAAAGTGTTTGCAGGATGGGGGAGAAGCTGTGGGACGCGAAGATGAAAGTTAGGAAAATCTCTTGGACGATAACTTGGGAATCAACGTGGTGCTTTCTCAAAACTGAATTCTTGGGATGCTGCAGACGCAGCATTTGAGAATGACAATGCTTGCATGTGTACCAAGCAATTGAAATTGTCAGGAATATTGGGCGTCCCCACGGATAGCCTCTATTCCAACTGCAACATGTGCAGAGGCCTTCGTACTTGTAGCAGTGAATATCAGCATGTCGGGATTGGATATGTGCAAATGTTCGCGACCAGCCCCTTGTCAGGCCAGTATTTGGACCATCATCACTTTTATCATCAACTGTGTCCGCGGTGTGCTGATCATAACTGGCTGAAGCGACAGCAGACGGCCGACATGCGTGGCATGGTTTGCGTGCGAACCCCAGGTTTGGGCGGTCGTCGAAGGATGTTTTCACAGGCTGTAGAAGTAAACGAAATGAGTCGTTGGGTATTGGGAAGTTGGCAATCAACAATGGCATGAGAGGTGTCCAAGTAGCGCTGCCCAAGCCCACACCTTGTCTGTCGCACGTTTGACAGCAGAAGCCTCCTCAGACAAACCTCCACAAACAACAAGCAGGCCCAGCCAGATACCCGGCAGGACAGGAGCAACATGCCCTTGCGCCAGCATAACGTCTTTCTACTCCTTCTCTGTTTCCGTTGTTCCCGTCAATCAAAACACGCAGTCATCTGTGCATGGGGGTCTTTGTGTGACCTTAGAGCGTGACAGAACACGCATCTGTTCTTGCACTCGATTAAATGCTTTTGGCCACAAGAAAGCTCGGAATGAGCATGAGTGTTCTTCATTCAATGAGTCATTCAATGCTCAATGTTTCTGCTTGATTGATGCTGCTGCTTCGCTCTGTATAATCCAGCTTGTGGCAGTAGTCCAAGTCTTATAGGGCTGTAACTTGTAAACCCTTGCTAGGCGGGTGGCAAAAAAAGTATATACTGTTAATGAGTCTGCTAAGATGAGAAAAGGGGCCTCGGTTTCAATTTGCTGCTACAGCTAAAGCGCTGTACTCTTGGACATGCGAACCTGGATCCTTGGCTGCGCTTGCGCCAGTTGTGAGAGTCCAAACCCCAAACCCTAAACCCCAAGCCCTAAGGACACCTGGTTCCCGGTATGCCCGGAAACTTTGGAAAGTGGAAGCTCTCATCCCTCTGCCCTTTACCTTCCCCCCCCCCCGCCCAGGGTTTAGGTTTTAGGGCTTTCCCCCCCTAAAACAAAGTTTTGAGGCCATGTAAACCTTAAGGCAAGATTGGGGGTATTGCAACCCCCTGCAACTAACCCCCCATGAAAGGAATTACATTGGAGCTGTGCGAGGCTTATGGTAGTGTTTTTGGGTTTTGGGTTTAGGGTTGGGGGAGTTGGGGTAGAAGCTGGGTCGGGTGGTGATGCTGGCCCAGCCCCTGGGATCACGTCTGACAGCTTTCCTGAGTACCTCAGAGACAGAGGGTTTAGGGTTTAGTGTTTCCCTAACTTCTAAACCCCACGCCTCAACCCTGAACCCGATCAGCTAGGCGGGTGGCAAAAGAAACCCTGAACCCCAAACCCAACCGCCTGCCCCACAAAGCATAGACAACCCTGACTAAGCCTCGCCGTGGAGCCAAAAGTCTAAATAGGGGGGGCCATTTGCCACCCCGGAGCCCTCGGAACGGAACGGAACTTGACGATCTTTGTCTGTGGGCTGTTGGGTTGCACAGCTGGGAAAACCCAAAACCTACTTTTCGCAGGTTATAGGATTCGTGGGTAACTTGCAAATAGTAGTTGTTGGGTTCTTAAGGTAGGGTCTAAACTAGTCAAGCTTGAGGTGGTCACTGGCGGACGTGTTCGCATTGGTTTCCAAATAGTCGGCTCCTTAATTGCACGCAATGAAGTTCACTGGCACTGCCAGTGCACGAGCCGACAGGACTAGCAGGTCGCTATACTGGTGGCGCAGATTCCATGGTATGAACATCTGATAACTGCCAACAAAGCAAGACAACTATGGTGGCCTGCTGTCGACGATTGTTGAAGTCTCTTGAAGTACGACCTTTGAGGTTCTAAAGCTCTTGCGAGCAGGAGCATTCGTGCTCACAACCACTCGCTTCCCGTGCGATTGCAACTTGGTCTGAATGCCTTGAGATTTAGCGGACATTTGGACGTATGAAGAGCAGCAATCAGACGCAATCAGCTATGCTCGGCTGAGGTGCTTTGCGATATTCCAAGCAGCCAGATTACCATGAATGGCGGGACCGCTTAGAGGTCGCAGCTTTTTGCTGAAGCTCGAACCATCTTGAACCTCAACATTCGCAATTGACGGAAGTATACAGAAGCAACAGTTTCCCAGCTTGTCCAGCTTCCAAACATGGAGCTTTCCAGGTAAAGGATGGGAATTGCTGCATGCAGCGCAGGTATGCGGACCTTTGGAGCTTTGCGACATGCGGCTTGTGGAGCGATTCTGCCAGCAGCTTTCGCGCCGTTTTCCCCGCATCCATGCGCCTTGGCCTGCAGGTCCCGACACGCGACAAACTTACGTGCTATGAGGCAGGAAGCCTGGAGAACACTCTGAGAACACCCAAGGCGAGAAGCGGCACACAGCAGAAATCGCGAGACCGCCAAACCGAAATAGATCCAAAGAGAACGAAAGAAGCAGCCAGATCTAACCGCCCAGCCGAACCCAAGCCCACACCACGTGCGGAAAGAAGTTGATCCCACCACAATCCCCAAGAAAGGACAGATAGATTCCCTCGCGATATGTTGGTGCACCTGTGTGATGAGTGCTGCGGCAGGTCGGAATTCGTGCGTGCCCATCCAATGCTGCCCAAGAAGAGAACCCCCTCCACAAGCTTCTCCCACATCCGCATGTGCTCGTCGCCTGTCTATTGCCATCGCGCCTTCCAAGAGCTGGGTCCAGTGGGGTGTCCAAGGCATCAGCCCTTTTGGGACTTTTGGGCCTGCGGTCTCAAACAGTTGGCATCCAGGCCTCTCACAGCAGATCAAAATGCAGAATCCTTGCTGTGTATCCTGAGGAAACACAAACAAGACAGCCATTATAGGCGAAGAGAAGAATCTTGGTTCCACTCGGGAACTGCCGGTTTTTCCCAAAGGGTGGGATGCCCCGGGCTGGTAGGTGCCATCATGTTGGCTTCGCCATGCGGAGAGGCTTTGTTCGCCGAAGGCGTTTTTTGCTGATTATATCGGCCAGGCAGCGCCGCACGGCTTTGAAAATTCCCTGTGGTGGACAGCCACGAACAGTAGCGCTCTGAAAACTAACTAAGCTCAGCGAGTCGATGAGGAGACAAGTTCAGCAAGTTCAGCGCAGCATGCTGCGTGTCTATATAGTTTGTCTAAGTTCAGAGTGTTGTTTGGCAAGCTACTATTGTTATTGGTCGCCTCAAATCGCCTCCTTCGGTACCCTTGTCATATCAGGCCACGTGTTCTGTGACCGGGCTGCAGACTCAAGTGGAATGGGGTATCAGACTTTACTTTGATCGTGTACCTTGCGCCTAGTTGTGGTTAGAACTGCACGTGTTCAATTCTACTCTGCTCATTCTGCCTCATTTCATCCTGCCTCTCTTCTATCAACCCCATGTGTGAGCAGGAGCCGCAACGGCTTCTGAAAAGAATTGGACTAGACCAGGATGGTGTGGATCTATAAATTACCAGGATGGTGATTGAACTGCAATTTTTGGCATTGAACTGCAATATATGGCAATGCTGCTTGAAGCAAAAGCCGCGGCGCCTGCCATTCGACAAATTTTACATTGTTTTGTCCCAAGGCCGATGTGTCTTTCGAGAAACCCGATCATGTGCGTTGCAAACCAGGGCCGACCTTGCCCAGTGGGAAGGGGGAGCAGGGCGCGTGGAGCAGCTCAACCTTTCAGGTTCTCATCAACAATGCAGCGCAAACTTTGACTCGGCGGGATGGTTGGAATGCTCGCATGGAGGAATTGGAGGGCAAAGCTGCCGGCACCTCAGTATTTCCATGTATTTCCGATCTCGGTGCCAATTTCCATCTTGCGGAGTTTGTACATTCACAGTATTCACGGCTTCTGTGGAGAGCGAGGCCGAGCTCATCCACGGGTTGGCAGTCCCTGGACTCAGAGATCGGAGACCTTCCTGAGTGTCCCACACGCCACCCGTGAAGCATCGCGAAGCTGTGCAATAATGGAGCCGCAGGAGTTTGCATGTAGGCAAGGGCCAGGTAGGCCTGCGCCCATTTGCCTAGGGCCTACCCCTGGGCCCTTTGCTGTTGGTTTGCTCAGGCAATTCGACAGCCTGCCCAATTGACCGAGCTGGCCCTTCCTGCTTCAATCGGTCAGCGATCGGAAGTGGTTTCAGTTCCAGATGCAAATGCCGCATGGCACGGCGATGGTTGACATGTAGTGGCAAAGGTCTTCCTTCGGCTTGGTACATGAGACTTAAGCCACTATGTGTTCACATCATCTCATATCATATGTGTGGTAAGCCGAGGCTATGTGGAAGCAGGCTGCTGCTTTGGAGGCGGACGTGGCAACTCTCGGAAATAGAGCAGCAAGTTGTGCGACATTAGAGCCTTCAGCTTCTCTCCGTTCACCAGCTTTGGCCTGCACTTGCACAGGATTTCCCGAAAGGGCAGCTTGATGAGTCCAGGCAGCCGCTGGATCTCTCCGCCCAGAACAGCTGGAGTCCTGGCTGAAACTGAAGACAGAACCATCAAGCACTGGCACATACTGACACGACATCTTGCTCGACCCGGAAGTAAACATTTGTCGTTCCAAGATTGTCATGTAGGTCCAGACGCATAGAGGATGCGTCTTGGACTCATTGGGCGGCGGTTGCCTTTGTTACCCTTTTCTGCTTTCCAGCGAAGCGAGAGACACTTGAAAAAACTTCAGTGGCCTGAGATTGACACGTTGGAGCTTCTGCAAACGCTGGCTGCGAACACCGCGGCCCCGTTCATCCTATGCAGCAAGTTGGCCGAAGTCGCCTGGCAGACGGTGGGTTTCCTGATTCTACGTGATCTCTTGGCAGGTTTTCTGATGTTTTCTGCATTGTTCATCATTGTTCTACAGTTGAGGCTTTGGCTCCGAAAGATGAGTCCGAACCATACGGCCACATTGTCAACGTCAGCGCCGCGCCTGTGTGACACGTGTGACCACTGAGCCATACTGAACCACACTGGGTCTTTCTACTGATACTGCACAGAGACGGCATGGCTAATCTCTGATGCGTTCAGGTGCTCTGGAGGGGAAGTTTTCCGTCAAGAACAAAAGCCCAGGCCATCCACATACGAATATGGCCAAAGCGGCTTTGAACATGATGACGCACACCGCCTGCAAGGCCGAATGGCTGCGTGAAAGTGGATTCATAAGACAGGTAGAAGCACAGCTCAGCAAGAGTCGTGTCTCTGCCTTGCTGCTAGGACATGTTTCGTCGTCGGATTTTGATGAATTGCGCCAGCAGCCGAGTGAAGCGCAGGCGAAGCAAACATCTCTATCGGGATCGAAGGATTTGACTCGCTTTGCGACCGAGGTGGACACCGGCTGGGTGACAGATATGGCGCCGGGTGGAGTTGGTGCCGTTGCTGCCAGCCATGAAACTTGGGTTGGGCCACCGCTGGATGAAGAGGACGTCCCAAATCAGTGCTCAGCGCTTGTATGTGGTTGTGCTGTGTATGCGGTAGCTTCTCGAATTCCAAAATGATGGACGGGTGCGGCGAAAGCTAACAGTCCTGCCAGTGCTACGGGGCAGCGTGGGGGCCGGATGAATGTTTCGACCTGCCAGGGACGACAAGTTACTGGATTCGACATACTGCGGAGTCACGAAGTTCGCAAATATTTTCTGAATCAAAAGTGAAAGCATATAAATTTTGTAGAACAGTGTCCGGTCAGTACCGAAACGGGGGGAGGGGGAAGGTGGGCCAGCGTGGGAGCCATTGAGAGAGACATGTCTTCGGAGGCATGGGCCAGATAAATGTTTCATGGCCTGTGTGACGGAGAAATGATTGGAGGTGCATTGTTTCTTGTCTGCTCCGAACCGCAAGGCGACGGAGAAAGTGATCCTGACATGCAAGACTCTTAGTAGTAGTCGTCGTCGTCGCCGCAGGAAAAGGAGCAGGAGCAGGAGCAGGAGCAGTAGGAGCAGTAGGAGCAGTACTAGGAGCAGTAGTAGGAGCAGTAGTAGTAGTAGTAGTAGTAGTAGTAGTAGTAGTAGTAGTAGTAGTAGTAGTAGTAGTAGTAGTAGTAGTAGTAGTAGCAGCAGCAGTAGTGGCAGTAGCAGTAGTAGCAGTAGTAGCAGCAGTAGCAGCAGTAGCAGTAGTAGCAGTAGTAGCAGCAGTAGCAGCAGATAGCAGCAGTAGCAGCAATAGCACCAGTAGCAGCAGTAGCAGCACTAGCAGCAGTAGCAGCAGTAGCAGTAGTCGCAGAAGTAGCAGTAGTAGCAGTTTTAGCAGTCGTAGCAGTAGTAGCAGTAGAAGTAGCAGCAGTAGCAGTAGTAGTTAGTAGTCGTGGTGGTGGTGGTGGTAGTAGTGATAATTCTTGTCTTGGTCAAAGGTTTGTGATCTCTCTTCTGCAAGGCGTTTTTGCTACTTCGTTCGAAGACAATGCAAAACTGCCTACTTGAGGTGTTAGGTTGACCCTCAGATCTTCAGTTTGAAGCCAGCTCCCTCCCGTTCTCCCCGCCGCGATTCTCCCTCTCCCCCTCCCCCCAGTCAACCTCCCACCCCCCCTCTTCGCAACATGCCACAGGATGGGGCTGCTCGTGTGCTCGATCCTGTCTTCAGCCATCTTTTGGACAAGACATGGCTCCTGCGAGGGAAGTTCTTCAAGTAACTTGGCAACAATGGATGCCCTTGATAGTTCTTTACTCGGTGCTCTGTCAACATGCCTGAGCCTTTTGCAGTTCTTTCACGGTTGCTACTATGAATGCATCACGTCAGCAAACCTTGAAGAACTTCTCTTGACTGACACCAAAGGAACTACTACGATGCTCGGCTGGATTGGTCTAGCTCAGCTTAAGTGTGACGTATACTGAGTTGTGATGGCACGATCGGCCACGCTGCCTTGTCAGCTCGTTTGTCCTCTTCCGCTGGCTGAGGTTTGTGGGTGGTGAGGCCCAGTGCATTTTGCTGCTACGTGGGCCAAATGTTCGCCATGCAGCAGCTGTTGCCGTCAGATGTGAGGGCAATGTCGGTTTTTGCCTGCTTGTGCTTTCCCTGCCGACCCTTGCAAGCTGAAACGAGTTGAAATGAGAAGGACATTCCCAAGTTTTGCATGCGTCACCGGAGCTACACATTTTTTTGCAGTGCCATTCAGCTGCAGACAACTCGGTCGCTTTTCGCGGCGGCTAGCCTCAGCACCTAGGACACTGCAGCAAAAGGCGACATTGTAGCACGATTGCCATTAGTTAGGAAGTTAGGAATATTTCAAGACAGCCATTTCGAGCCTATGCTGCTTAATCAAACAAGATGTGGGACAACGAGCTTTGCAACGGGCGATCAGCCCGACGAGCTCCAGACCCAAGCCGACTTGCACAGAGGCGAACGGGACACATCCTACTTGTAGCATGGAGTGGAAGAGCGGGGAAGACAGGGAGTCTTAAAGTCTTTTAAACATGTTTTTAACAACATGTTTGACTTGGTGTTCAAGCTGTGGTCTTCTGGGAGAGGCCTTAATGACGATCAATGACCAGGCCGGGCTCGCAGATCTCAGACGTGCTTAGCCTGGGCTTACTTAGCCTGGGCTCAGTGGAGATGGTTGTTTTCTGCTCGGCTGCAGATTCGAGCAGTATTTCCAAGTTTGGATACAAACCTGCTTCCGTGAGAGTTAAGAATCGCTGGTGCCAGTCCTTGCTTCAAAAATGTGGGTGTTCACGCGGCACGTGTTGTTTCGCTGACTGCATTAGCACATAGCCTATCCTCTTGCCAAGGCAGAAAGGCTGCCGCTCGCCGAGAGTCGGCTGAGCTTTCTCAGTGTGGTCACAGGAAGGTTCTCGCAGCAAGATTGTTCACACCTGTGACAGTGGCAAGGCTTCATTTTGATGGAGCCCGCACGATGTTTGCTTTGTGGATCGTGCGCCGCACTCGGAGACGCGTCTGCCATCGTCCTCATACCCCCCTTGCTTCAGCAGGGGCGCATGGCAGGTGCCACCACATGGCCCCAAGAGAGCCTTCGTGGCTACTGGACAAGATGCTGGTGCGTTCGATGCTTGGCATGTGCACGGTTCGCACTGTGCAGGTGCAGTATAGTCTGGCATTCAATGGTGTAGAATCGGATTCGGGACATCCATAAGCTCAGGCGTGGACGTCTGAACCTTGGCCCGGACTGTCAAAACTGGCCGGCTTTGCAGGAGGCACATCGAGTTGAGTCCAAGGTTTGCGTGGAATTCTTCATGCTCCTGTCCGGCTTTATGACGCACTATGTGTACCACAGCAAGGATGACCCCCATCGTTCCCAGAGCTTGAAAAAGCGTATGTGAGCTGTGCAGGACATTGAATCGTCGTTTGGGTCAATGATGGCGTTTTTTGCGCGGCGCGCTTTCCGCTGCTTGCTGGCCCCCGCCTTGCTCAAAAATCAACTCTTCATATTCTTCATGTCGGCGCAGACGCAAAGCTCCAGCTTGATGTGAAGGCCACCTATCTGGGAATGATGCTTTGCACCCTGACGCTGTGGCTTCTCACTCAGCGTGTGTCAGGCCTTGTTGCCTAAGCAGCCTTAGCCTTAGAACATGGCGCAGGCTTGGCGGCTTTGAGATCTGGTCCTTCAAGACGTTGAGGCAATCGGCAGGGCACGATCCGTCAGATTCTTTCTGTGTGTGTAATGTGGTATGGCGATCCAGTTGCTTTCTCCTCGTCAAGACGTGGATCGACCCGGAGCCCAATTGTGCATCACACAGATTTACACAGCAGACACAGCATGCGTCAGCGGCAGAAGATCTGTGTCCAGTGGCGGCAACACCAAGGCCCCAACATGCCGTCATGGTTTATCGTCTCCCTGCTGCCTTCCTGGTGCCTCAGAACTTGCAAATCGCATGCATCGCCGGGTATTTTTCTTCAAGACTCTACTGCGCGACTGTCTTGTGCAAGCTGTTGGCAGTTTGGAAAGGCTGCTGTATCCAGTGATCCGACCAATGCTCCTGTGGCACCGGGCTCAGAGCTGTCTGGCGAAATGTTCCATCCCACACGCATGTCCGATCGCGCCTCTGTGGCCAGCAGTCCAAACTAGCATGTGTTTCCTCTGTCGTCTTCTTTTCTTCGGCAGCTGGCGGGCTCATGTTGCGCGCATGTTAAGGAACAAGTGCGCACCACGTGAAGCGACGTGCTCAATACAGCAGGCAGTACAGCTTTCAGGCAGTACAACATTCTAAAACCAAAGGGGCTCAGACGGGCTGAACCGAAAATGTTGCCTCAACAAGCAGGCCATGGAGTTTCAGGCAAACAGCCGCAACAAGCAGACCAGGGAGGTTTAGGCGGGCAACTGTACCAGTTGCCGAAATATGCAGGCCAGGGAAGCTCAGGCCGGGCAACTGTGCCAGCATATTGCCTTAGAAGAAATACAGAAACCAAGAAAGGTTTCAACCAGGATTTGACCAGTAAGCCTTCCTTGTTTGTGGAGACGGCAAGGTTTCTGTGGCTTCCCGGTTCGCATGGGTTCTTGGCTTCCTGGCTTTTGGCTTCTTGGCTTCCTGGTTTCTGGGCTTCCTGGCTTCCTGGCTCCTTGGCTTCTTGGGCTGAGCCTCCCCTAGAAGAAGGGGAGCGAAAGAAAATAATGTTATCTGAATGCTTCTTGTTTCATTTACAAAACAACCTTATTACTAGCGGTATCACTGTCATTATCACTAGCACTCTCACTATAACTATCACCATCACTATCTGCACAGACAAGATAACCGCGCAAAATACAGTATTATGCGAATGAATGAGCCAGCGAAAAATGCCCCAATTGTTTTCGGTTTAGGGGGCATTAATAAGCTCTTTTAAACACCATTTCACGCGGGAACAACATTAATAGCACAATAACCGCGAATGCAATGATAGCACGGGCCTTCACAAATTCTATGCTTATTGGCCCGTTAAACATTTTCATGAAAAAGGTGAGCTTGCGAACATCACTGGAGAAAACTGAAGAGCGCAAGCTCACCAGCAGTTGTTTCTATGGTCTCTACTACATCGCAAGTGCACATACTATTGGCGTAAGAGTTAATACGCTCAAGGTTTGGTTTCGGGGGAGGACTGGGAGCCCTAGGCCCGTAAGGAACCCTTGTAAAAAGTGTTCTGATGCTCCAGTGCTCTGTAGCTCGGTCAGGACGCCTCACACATGCAAGCACATGACTAGGACAACTACTATGACAACTACTACGATGATACGAGTAGTCGTAAGTCGTAAGTAGTAAGTAGCAGGTAGCAGGTAGCAAGTAGCACGTAGCAAGCAGCAAGTAGCAAGTAGCAAGTAGTAAGTAGTAAGTAGTAAGTAGTACGTAGTAAGTGGTAAGTGGTAAGTAGTAAGTAGTAAGGAGAACGTAGGAAGTAGTAACGGGTTGTGGTTGTGGTGGTGTTGGTGTTGGTGCTGTTGGTGCTGTTGGTGCTGTTGGTGCTGTTGGTGCTGTTGGTGCTGTTGGTGCTGTTGCTGCTGTTGCTGCTGTTGCTGCTGTTGCTGCTGTTGCTGCTGTTGCTGCTGTTGCTGCTGTTAAGCACTACCAGCTCAAGCCGCCCGCGCATGGTAGCTGTCGAACCGGCCAAGGCCCCGAACTTCATCTCTTTAACAGTCTTTCGGGGCCCTCTTAACATCTCAAGGCTCTCTAGCTTTTGCCAGCTGATGGTCACTTGGAGGCTTTAGCCCCAAGCATTTTGAGATTCTGCCGCAGACAGCATATCCACGAGCTGGCCCGGTCCCAATTCCGGGGGGAGAACTTAGATCGTCTTAGACTGCATCTTTCACTCCTAAGTGTGAGGGTTCTCGTCTTTCCGCAGGACGAGGGGAGTCTGATCGTGCTTCGGCACTTCAGTCGAAACAAGCGGATGGCAGAGGGTTCAATTCGGAAACACTCCTATCGTCGGGCCTGTCACCGAGCCTTAAGGGACGGTTGCGCAGTACCATATCGAAGGACAAATTTGCCTCTAAGAGGCACAGGCAAGCGTAGGCACGGCTGCACCTAGTGCAAGCCAGGAAACTAAGGAAAACATGCATGCTCAATTTGCACCGCAGCTTCCTCTTAGGCAACCGCGCAGGCGTCACCCCAGAGGAGGTCGCGACGCCAAACCACTGCGAGTTTTCTCATGGAATGCAGGTGGATTAAGCCAGCAATTGTGGGCAGAGTTCAAGGAGTGGCTGCAACATCAGCAGGACCTTGATGTTATCTTTATCCAGGAAACCCACTGGACTACCTCATCCCAATTTCAAGTGCATGGCTGGACAGCTGTTTCAGGCGGTCTACCGGATGAAGAGCTCGTGAGGTCCCCTCCCGCTCAAACACCCCAGTTGCCCGGACAGCCTAAGCACCGGCGCTCAGCGGGTGTTCTCACTCTACTATCGCCTAGCATAGACTCTGCAACACTGCGCTGGCAGGATCTACACCCAGGCCGTGCTCACGAGGTTCACTGCGAAGTCCGAGGTCACCCAGTGCTCCTGCTCAACTGCTATCAGTACACTAAGCAGCGGGGCATGACGGAGCAAGACCACTATGCCACCCAGAGCAAAGTTCTCTCCTCCCTAGGCAAGTCCCTCTCCAACCTATCACAGCGCACTGTTCCGGTACTGGCGGGCGACTTCAACTCGTCCCTAAAACCTAATCCCCCCTATGTAGGGGGAGTGGTACCGGCAGGGTCTTCTAAGCACAAACCGGTTCAGAAGCAGTTCCAGAAGTTTCTTCAGCGAAACTCTCTAGTTGCGCTTAACACATGGCAAGGGCGTAAGGCAAACACCTTCACCTCGCCACAGGGCAGCTCTCAGATAGATTTTATCTTGACATCCAAATTCTATGCTGCTCAGCTAGCCCGCAAAGTGTGTGTCCTCAAGGACTTTAAGCTGGGAGCATGGCGTAAAGGCGGCAAACACACGCCACTCCGGACGGCAGTACCGCTCAAGAAGGTCTGGAGACAACCGTTCTCGACCAAAACTCAGCCAGTAGTCCCTTCTAAACAAAAGTCCCTACTGGCTCAACATGTTAGACAAAATACTCCTCTGGCTAAAACCCTGCGAGACCAAGTTGCACAGGACGTTGATAAACTCCGAGCGCAGAAGAATGGCGAGCCTCTTCACCCTGATGAGGTCAACGAGCTTCTTCTCGAACATGCCAAGAACTTCCAACCGAGGGACCCAGGAGCAGGCACCTCAGACGCAGCTCCGACAGCACAACCTCTGTGGCGGCTTCATAACAATCGGCAGACTGCACTAAGGAACCTAAGACGTGAGGATGACGTCATAAATAAGATGGCTCGCACCGAGCACCTCAAACAGGCTCAGCGCTCACTAGACGAGGCAGCCAAGACACATGCCCTCCAGATAAAAAATCAGGCCCGAGAAAGGACTCATCGCACTCTGACAGAGATTTCTGAGAAGGTCAAACGAGATCCACATGCGGCATATCGCTCTTTAAAACATGTAGCTCCCTGGTCTCCTGCACCTAGAGTCTGCCTCAGATCGCCATGCGGCCGTATCCTAACTGAGTCCGAGGGGCTAGCAGAGCTAAAGAGACATAGTCTTTCAATCTTCTCCTCGCATCCCCCCCTAGCCAGTGGCGTAGGCCAAGCCTTGCCCAAGCTGGACAAAAGCAGTCTGGCAAAAGGCATAGCCTCTATAAAGCCGGAAAAGGCAGTACCGCAAGGATCTGCCCCAGCATCCATGTACCGCCTTTGTGCCTCAACAGTGGCCGATAATTACTGCGACTATCTTGAAGCGGTGCCTCTGCCTCCCGCTCTGACCCATCCGGCGTGCGAGGTCACCTCCTGCCAAGGGAAGAGCGAACCTCGGCATAACACAGCACCACTGAATCAAGCCGAGCCACCCTCGCTGCCTATTACGGCCAAATCAGCAGACCTTAGCTTCATACCCAAGCCCTCTAAACCTGCCTCTACCCAAGCCCTCTAAACCTGCCTCTAAGCCGGAGAACTTGCGACCGCTAGGCATCATTAGGCCAGATGGCAAGGGCATAGCCTCTGAGGCTAGGAGACGGCTCGACCCCCTCTTTAAGAAGGCCCACTTTGCCTCCCCTCAATTTGCCTATATTCCAGGCCGCGGTATCGCCGACGCCCAACTCCGGGTAATTGGCCACGCAAGGCGTGTCCGAGCCATGCTTCGATCCCGAGCACCGGACAGGTTCTGCACTCCCAAGCGCAAGAAGGGTAAGCCAGATCTGATTGGAGGCTTCACCTTCTCACTAGACCTCTCTCAAGCTTTTGACAAAACAAGTAGAGAGGCTCTCTTGCGCTCACTAATAACTTACGGGGCCTCACCCGAAGACGTTGAGCTGGTTGCGTCCCTTCATAGGGAAGCCCAGTATAACTTGCGCTATGGAAGAAGCCAGGACACAGTCACCTCAACAAGAGGTATAAAGCAAGGCTGCAAACTAGCCCCCTCTCTCTTCTCCCTGGTCATCACGGAGGCGTTCCGGCTTATGGCTACCCACATAGG